AGCTAAATGTTAGTATTAATATGTTACTCGCCTATGGCTATGGACCTCTCTAATGTAAAGGCCTCGTTTAACCCTTTCCAGGTGTATCTATCCAATAGTCTGCCAGTCGTCAGCCTGGCCTGCTATTTCCTACAAACAATAAACGTGTGAATTATTTATCGTGTGTGCGTCTGCACTATTCTCGTTGTGTTTGGTCTGTAATTTGATATGGATTCGTGTGAAGTGGCCAGTGAAATTGACATCGAATGTCTGTCATATGTAGGTAGTGGTTCTCGGTGCTACATATAGCATTCTATTATGTCCTTTTCTGTATGTATTATTGATAGACATTTGTACAGACTATCCCCATGAAAACTAGATCAGTCTAACCTCCTTTAACTAAAGTACTATTGTCCCTTTCTGTCAAATTGACTTTGTGCTGTGATGAAAAGAGAAGCATAAGTACTTTCCAATTTCATTTTAAAAACAATTGCGATGTGCATTTAATTACGATAATTTACTTTGAAGTTGAAAATTTATCTAGAGTAGGTATGCGAAACGTCGGAGAATTGTTTAACTATAAATTCGATATAATTAGAAATTATTGCCAAATAATAAATACGACTCTAAACAGGTCTTGGCTTTTGCATCGCAATGTTTTTCTTCACTGTAGGAGCAAGTGCTTATTGCGCACATAAAAAGAAAATTCCATTGATTGCCAGCCGTCACTCGAACACTTCGCTGAGGGGTCACACTGGGAAATGCGTTACGCATACCCACCCGCGGCACGGTTGCCTCGAGGTGAAAGGGTTATGTGGGACTCGCTGCTGTGCATACCCACTGAAACTCCACGGCGCCACCAGCAATCGCCCGAGGCAGGACACGGTAACAGCGTAGCCTTGTCCGCATCCCACCATGCAATCAGCCGTTGAAATCACGGTCCTCTATGTGATTTGTAAAGCTGGGGGAGATCGGGTACAAGGCTTGCAGGAATGCGTCATCATCCCTTTTGGACGCATGAACCCTTATTAACCCGTCTACGTGACGCTTAAGCGACTAGACCAACACTGCTCTATATCTATATATATCTCAAAATCCGATGTTATGAATATTTAACGCGATATAATCTTTGAATAATCACCAATTACTAATATGTTTTACATTACGGAATCTTAGATTAAGTATATTTACATCAATAATTGAATACAATATACAATAACGCGAAAACCGCCCTTTGTGTTTGAACTTTCAATTTAAGATTGTGGAATGTATACATCAAAGAGGTTTGTGTACCTTTGAGCTGTATTGTATAATGTAATTTGTATGTTAATTACATTACACGCGCTAAATTTTCAGGTAAACATATAGAAATATACACCTGTTACCGGTGAGGTTACTTCGATAATTTATAATAGGGGTAGAGCCTGAAATAACGAGAAGTAAGATAATGTCAGATTATGACAGCTTCGTTTGCGTTCGCACCGAGTTAAAATCGAGCGAATCGAGTTGATCAATAAAAGACGCATATATGTGTCTGTCCCATGTCTCATTTAGAGGAATTCATATGTATAGTACTTTTGAGAGCGTTAAGAAGTATTTGTCTTTTTATGTAATAGGAAGCAAACGGGCAGGAGGCTCATGTGATGTTATGTGGACATTGCCAGCCTTTTAAGAATAGGTACGCACTTTTCTTGAAGGACCCTAAGTCGAATTGGTTCGGAAACAGCTGGTCAGCTGGTTCCACATAGTGGTGGTGCGCGGCAAAAACTGCCTCAAGAAACGCTCTATTGTGGAACGACGGACGTCGAGGTGATACGGGTGTAATTTTTTATTCTGCCTTGACGTCTGATGATGAAACTCAGCTTGTATTAGTCCGAATAACTCCTCGCAACACTCTCCATGGTGTGTGAACATTGCGTGATATTAATAAGTAATAGTAACATACGTGAGCAGTGTGGGTTAAAAGAGGACGTAATCAAGGATACGAAAGGGAATGCTAAGGTGGTTTGGCCATGTGGAACAGAATGTGAAGCAGTTAACAAGTAGAATATACAAAGCAACCGTGGATGGTGAAGTCCAGTTGGGGAGGCCTCGTCGTCTATCTGGACCAAAAACAGGAGGAGTTTAAAGTACCCATAACCGACGATGCATGGTAAATGTCATGAAAGTGGATGATGCGAGAGGTATGTCAGGAATATAAATAAATAAAATACCTGCTTAGACTCGCAGTTTAAGAGACAAATTTATGAAATAAAAGCGGTCCCAAACTTACGTTCTATAATTTTAGTATTAGACTTAAGATGCCATGTACGATTATTTAAACACGTCATGTCAAAATGTATTTAAACATTCATTAATTTTCATTCTGTTTATTTCCCACATCCCGTATAAACCATGTCAAAATATTAATTTAAACGCGCTTTATTCACGACTATTACTTGCGTTTCATTCCGGTGTAGCTTTTATGCGAAGTCGTGTAGTAAGAGCGTTTGATTGCGTATTCAATCAGATATATAGGACACCTATTTCCAATATTCCAATGGCATTCGTATTGTTCGGTTTCATGCCCTAGATCTCTGTTCTATTGCTGTATAAATGACTTCTTTTTTATACTTAGCGTAGGAATTAAAAAAATACTTCAATCGGGTACAAAGTATCGTGCCTTATACAATATACAGAGATCGAGTAAGTTTGTATTGACCATATTTTGTTTGTTAACTAAATCTTAATATTTTTTGGTTGCGACGTTTTTATATTATATTTTTACTACACCAACAAGAAGATCAAATACAAAGACACTTTAAAAATTATAAAAAAAATTATTTTAAAAATGTTACGTATATACAATTAGATTTCATAATAAACTTTATGTGTTAGATTCCGGTGATGTGAACTCACGTCCAAGGAACCGTGCCTTAAAATATGCTTAAACAACTTGAAAAATACAAAGTTGTTCTATATTTTACATTGAATTTTATTAAAACAATATAGCGATTTCATAACACCTCCAGAATGCAATATACCCAGAAAACATTTGCACAGCAAATATATTCAGTTAGTTGTTCCATTGTAAAGTCTATTACATTCTAGCACATACCTTGGCTCGTTAAATATTGTTATTGTTCTACTAAATTAGATTTACGTTATCAAGAATAGAGCTGGGTTAATGTTAACCGGCTTTGTTGGCTTGTAAAATAATTATATGGTTCTATTTCATGCAGGCGACATCGTTTGATCGAGTAATTACAATACGTCATACAAAATATGATGGAACTGAATTGAACAGAATAATATACTATTACGGAATCCGTAAAAATACCGAATTACTGTTTGCTTCATTTTAATACCTAACGTTTCATACCGCATACCATAATATTATGATAAAGTTTTCTACATTTTAAGTTTCAATCTGAAGTTCTAAAATATAGCAATTTCGGTGGCCATAACTCTGATTTACAAACAATTCAATATTATATTAAAAAACTTAACTTTAACTTAATAATAACTTATTTAAAAATACTTATTCGATTATTAAGAATCATTGAATCCGTGAAAAATATATATTTTTTGTTATTATACAAGTTGTTTTGAAGGTTGTAAGTATAATAGTTATAATGTGGAAACGGTGCAGCCACCAGTAGTTTATTGTTTATCAGAATGCCAAATCGTAAAATGACTGCTTCACGACTGATTTGAGCGCGACCGCCGCTGCGAAAACCGCTGTCACAAACAAAATCGCAAGGCTGTTATTTAAAGAAGATAAAATATGTCTTTCGCACTACACCATTTGGACAAATATTATTTTAATCCTGCGCAGACGAAGGCACCAGCTAGTGTATTAATAAAACATCTGAATTTTAAATCAAACCTGTCATTGTACAAGAGGTTTAAACAAATTATTTCGACCCTTCCGACCTATTTAAGTTATCTGGTTAACTTGAGATAAATTGCGGTGCGGAGTTTAAAATTGCAGTGGTCTCGTGGCCTGCTTGCGACTCGTTAACTACTTCTATGAGATATTATAAGTTTCATTGCTTTAATTTCATCTGAGATCTTCGTGGAACTGTTAAACTGTGACGATTTAAACTCAGGTTTTCCCCTATTTGTTAAATGAGTTTACCTTTTATACTTGAATTGTTGCTAAATGGCTCTTTACTTAGTGGCGCTACAACCTCTTTAGGTCTGGGCCTCAGATTTCTGAATCTGTTTCATGATCATTTTAAAATCTAATGGGCAAGTAGGTGATCAGCCTCCAGGGCCGGACACACGCCGTCGACTTTTTGTGTCTAAGACATGTCGGTTTCCTCACGATGTTTTCCTTCACCGTCCATGCGAATGTTTAATGTGCACATAGAAAGAAAGGCCATTGGTGCACAGCCGGGTATCGAACCTACGACCTCAGGGATGAATGTCGCACGCTGAAGACACTAGGCCAACACTGTCCAAAAGTAAAATATATAACATATAAAATAAATGTTTATTTAGAACTGAAATATATAATATAATAAGTTATTTACGTATGATTTTTTTTGTTCACAGTCAGAGACCACCCTTCACATCACGTCACACGGTTGCGACACTCGAGGCATTTGGACGGGTACCTTCCATTACATACTTCGGCCGTAAGTTACTTTCATACAATCCATGAAACTCTTACATCATCAACGTTTACCATTAAATCCCTTTTACAGTTCAGCCCTAAGCTTATCCCTTTAGATTACATGTTAATTTTGGCTTATTTTTAATAAATTGTATAGAGGTTGCATGTAATATGTTGAACACGCCTAAATCTCATTGTGCTAGCGAGGAATGATGTAAGTAATCTTCTTAACTGTAACTCATTTTCCATTTTGAAAAATGTATAATAATAATCTTCATAATTCGTTCCTCTTAGAATCAGCAGGATATTCGTAAGTCAATTTGATAGATGCATGTGATATTTTAGAATCAAGGTATAACTTGGATGGTAATTTTGAATTGTAAATAATGTTATGTTGATAATGATGTAGTTGCACACCCAAATGGGGTTTCAGTTTATACCGGCAACGTCACCGAAGCTCGCAGTCAAAGACAATCATAAGCCGTTGTTCACGGAATGTCTGAACTACAAACCAACAGTGAAGGAGGAGCAGCCGATTGGTACTTATGTATTTACGGTGAGTTTTTTTGATTTTTTCTAAACATGCTGGCGTTTTCAATTATAAATAAACAAGTGTACTGGTACATTATCAATAAACAAGTGTACTGTTACTGTAATAAATAATATTTTTATTATAATCTGTTACAATCTATATAATATATAAAAAAATTATGTTGGTTTGTGTACCCTTCAAAAACTCAAAAAGTTATGCACCGATCGAGCGGAAATTGTAGCATTATATATAATCCGCATCAAGGATATTGTTGTTTTTTTTTTTTCATTTTTTTTCCCACAAGTATTACAAAATTAAACTTATATCAAATGTTTTCTTTCTTTTGTTTCTTATTTCTCAACCATTCAATCACAATGTGCCACAGCGTGGCAGGGAGCAGCAAGTACCTACCACCAAAGATTTACCCTCTATAAAGCAAAATTACTTACAGTGAGGTATTTGTTACATCAAATGATTACATTATATATTAAAATTAATTTGCAATTTACAGGTTCATGCAGAAGATCGAGACCCGCCCGAAATGGGTGGCACAGTTACTTACAAATTTGTCTCGACGCCTGGTGAAAAAGAAAGATTTCATGTCGACCCCGAAACTGGAAGAATCACGACTGCAGATGTCAGTATTTTAGTCACTCTCATTATTTGAATGGAAAATATTCCTATTCATTTAAAATCAGAATGAAAGATTAATCTCCATATAATTTGTCTGGTGCTTTTGTTTCTTCTCCATTGTTTTAAAGTTTAACTATTTTCTTTATAATATGCACTAAAGTAATGCAGAACAAAGGACTATCAGGTGGGTACAATATATACATGGAGCTAATATTAATAATAAGAAATTGTGTTTAGATTTTTGATCACGATGAGCCATCGCGTGAGAAGGAAGCATACATTACTGTTCGTGCCAGTGACAATGGACAACCTCAGCTGGATGACGCTTGTACCATTAAAATCCTCATCGAAGACATCAATGATAACCAGCCGGTCTTCGACAAAGTCGTAAGTACTTCTGTTATACAATTGTGTAGATTATCCCTGGGTAGACCATGTGTTCACTGCAGATGTAAACAGCTCGAAGCACTCGAGTTCTAACTGCTACTAGCACTCGATATGCCAAAAACTGGTGAACTTTTTCTTATGTCTGTTATAGGTGCATTCTAACTAGATAGGGAGAAGGTATGAAAGATCTGTGTATTTTCATTCATTTTTCCATCATTCATTTACTGTGACTAACTAATCATTCGTTCATTAGCCTCAAACCGTGGCGCAGACTTTATTAACACTTGCCTGTTTTTCGAAGGTCTTCCGTGGACATGTTTGGAAGGTTTGTCTTAAAGAACAATGAATTCCACCAATGAGAGAAAGCGTTTTCGCACAAAGACTGTTATAACGTTTCACACATGAACTTTTATTACTAACAATCGATTGTTACCATCGCTACCGTAGTATAATGTTCTGTTTATTAGAATTGGTTTTGAAGTAATGATAACAATCGAATATGTTTTAAATTATCTATTTTACTTGCATGTCGCTGCATGTCTTTAGGATTGTAAGCCGCCACTCAAGGCGATATTGGTAATAACTTTTAAACGTTTAGTGTGTATTCACCTTTTTTTGCACATTTGTAGTTGACGTGTTTTCTTTAGCTAGGCTGCTCTTTCCCCTAGATGCATTTTATCACATGGCACGATTATTGATTATTTTAAGAAACTTTCTCTAAGCTTGGGCATGCTTTGCGTAGGAGAACCAAGCAGGTACCTTTAAGGCTAATGACACGCTGAGTGAACACAATTTTTGACTTGGTTTTTCACCGAATGATTTTTCTTTTGTTTATCGAGTTTATTCTGACGTATTATTTGTTTTCCATACAGTCGTACTCGGAATCGGTACCTCAAGATTTGCCGAGCGGCCGGGAAGTAATGAGGATTTCGGCCACGGACATAGACGATGGTAACAACTCTATCGTGCGTTACAGTTTGGATTCCAATTCGCCAGATCAGGCGTATTTTTACATAGATCCAGATAACGGAGTTATATTTTTAAATAAAAGTATCGATGTAAGTACACACTAAAGTAATAAACCGTTTTCATTTATTGAAATTAAGTTAAATATTGATCTCAATTATAAATTCTTAAAGATTACATTTCTCTGTAATAATTCGTTTCAATTTCGGAGAAATAATGTAATAAATATTTTAAATCAAAGAATGACAGAAAGTTTGCCAATTATAATAATAATCCTTGTTTCTTTAACAGAGATTGTAACTGCTTTAAAATTGTAATATAGATTACATATTTGTAACTTAATTTCAAAATTAATTTTGCAGAAACCGCCCGGTTACAAATTTAAATTGAGCGCTATAGTAAAAGACCAGGGTGATGAGCCCCAACAAAGTTCGATTACTTTAGACATCCAAGTCGTGGAGTCTAACAAGAAAAGCCCGTCTTTTATAGAAGTTCCTGATGAACCGATCAGATTAAAAGAAAATTACGCAGACTTCAATACACCCATAGCTACCGTGAGGGCCGTGTAAGTATTCCATTCAATTTGTATAAATTGAACTTGTATACTCGCAATCGTAATCTTATTAATGACTTAAATTGTTAATCTGTTTTGATTCACAAAATTTTCTATTTCCTTTATGACTTCAATTAAGTATTAGAAGGTGCCGTAATAATAGAGTTATACATGGTTTTGTTTTTTTGATTTGGCAAAAAAGTTACTGTCTATGCCATAAAGTTCTGTTTTACCGGAAACTAGATAATTTCCTCTCAATTAATCGAATAACAGATATCTCCGCGATTTGAAAAGGAATAAAACTCCTTTAAATATATTCGTTAGTTTCACTAAATAAAAATCACTTTTAGATCAAACATATTGGAAGAGAAAAAACTTCAGTTTGAACTTGTTATGGGTCAAACTGAACAAACTAACAAGTGGCATACCTTCGTACTGGAACCGGAAGCTGACTCAGCGTATATTAAACTCGGAAATCATCTGGACTATGAGAAAATTACGGACTACACGTTAACTGTAAGAATACAGGTAAGGACATTATATTACTAAAATAGGGCCACGTCAAGGAGGCATTTTGAGTATTGAATATTTCAGAGATAGAAGAATCGTAATTTCGTTTATTTGGAACGTGACTTGTAAAACCGAAAACGTATACACGAAGATTTGGTGACATATGGGAATTTATTAAATACTAGCGGTCCGTCCCGGCTTCGCACGAGTGGACATTGTTTTTTTTTAAATTTAGATATTGATATGTTCTTTAATATTGTTTGTTCTATTATCAATCGTTTTCGCAGCAAATGCGATGAAAATATTTTATAGGCATTTTTTTACTTATAATTGTAATTTTGGGAGGGATACTTATTTTTTTCTTGCAATTAAAATATTATTCAGTGATAATGTAACATTCAAACGGTGAAAGAATTTCTAAAATCGGTCCAGTACTTTTTGAGCCAATTCGCTACAAACATACTTACATACAAATATTTCCTCTTTATAATATTAGTATACATTTTTCTACATTACATACTTTACAGAACAACTACAAATTGGCTGCAGAGACTATCATACAAATAGAAATTGAGGATGTTAATGACAACATCCCTATATTCAGCGAAATACGTTCTGGAACCGTACTAGAAAACGAACCACCAGGTACGCCGGTGATGCAAGTTAGAGCCTTTGATGCTGACGGTACATCAGCCAACAACCAAATAACATACGAACTAGGTGACGCCTCAGACCCCTTCGCTATTGATAGCATTACCGGTAATATAACGACACTGAAAAACTTTGATAGAGAAGAAAGAAGTTTCTATAATATTAAAATAATAGCCACTGATAATTCTGAATCCGCTCTAATTCCGGGAAAACATAATGCTGGTCAGCAAGTGTTCCTTATAGAGATAGCGGATAAAAACGATAATCCACCGCATTTCACTCAAGACACGTACGTGGCGGAATCTATAGCTGAGAATGCTAACATTAATGAGCTCGTCACGCAAGTTACCGCTTTGGATATTGATACGGGTAAGGTTATATATTACATATGTTAAGGAAAATTGTACATAAACTACAAAGATGATTGTTACTGCAGAACTTTCTAAGAATTTTAATCAGCTTTTGATAACTTACCATACCAGTCTTAACTATTTCCAAAACAGTCATATCCTAGGACGTCATCGATCAGGTCCGGGCCTCAGATTTGGGTATCTGTTTGTTATCATTTTTTTTCTAATAGGCAAGTATCTTTTTGGGTCTAAAGCATGCCGGTTCGCTCACGAAGTTTTCCTTCAACGAACAAGCAAGTCGCACGCTGACGCTACTATACTAACAAATAAATCTTGAGTAATTAAATTACGGTAGAGGCTAGTACAGTTAGAGAGAGAGATAAGGTCCTAAAATATTTGGGACCCTAATCTAAAAGATACAAAAATAATATTTTTATTCATTAATTATATACAAGTTTAGTATATTAGAGACTAGAGTTATTAGGTATATATATATATATACATATATAATTATGTCAATATTTTGTAGTAAGCAATAATTGTATCTTCGCCTTTCTAAAGTCTAGAATAAAGGTAACCTACCGTTTAGTTTATTACTTTTTTCGCAAACTTTCAATATTAAATAACAATATCAGTTGAAATAAAGTCGAAACACATTTGTTGAAACACATAAGAGGTTGTGCGTTCAAACCCCGGCTATGCACCTATATATTTTATGTGAGCCAATTAATTTAGCAATTAGTACTAAAATTTCAGGCAAAAACCATAGGTTTTTAGTGCCAGTGTGTTATTTTTTTATAATACGTTTAAATAAGAAATAGTTCTATACAAAATTGAATATTTATATTATCCAATTTTCGCAGCTTCCGTCGTTACGTACAGCATAGTATCTGGAAACACATACGACGCGTTTGTCATACGTAATTTCACCGGTGAAATTCGTGTTAACAACGAACTCGACTACGAGAATATAACCAGTTATAGCCTGGATGTTAGGGCATTTGATGGCCTTTATGAAGACTATGCAAAGGTTCTGATCAAAATTGAGAATTTGAATGACAACCCACCTGTATTCTTGGCTAACTATACAAAAACCATTGAAGAGGAAAAGTTGTATGAAGGATGTATTGTTAAGGTGAGTGAATATAAATTGGGGTTATAAATGAGATAAGGTTTCTCGCGTTTCTCGGGAAACTGACCATCGTGGACTTAAATTATCAAGCTTAAAAGGCTTAAATTATGAAATTTAAAGGAAGAATTACTATTTTACAGCGGCGGACATTTTGATTTAATTATGTTTGAGATTGCTCAAACATAATTTAATCACCAAATAAATTAGTTATAGATATCTTGTTATGTTGGTTGTTGCATTTTTTTTTGGTTTCACGTAGTAAAATCTTTATTAAATTGATTAATAAGGATACCTAATTTAAGTTTCTTGCTGTCAGAGGTACGATTTGCGGGCGAACCAGTATTTATTCAGGTTTCAGACTCAGAGGGCTACGTCTGAAGGCATGTTAATGTCTATTTAGTTTTACTTAGAAAAATGTTAAACTGACGGATAAATTTGTGTTAATTATTACTTCAGGTTGAAGCATATGACCCAGATCTCGACAGGAACGAACCTCAGAATATTGTCTATTCTCTGGTCAAACATGAGCAAAAGGAGTTCCTTCAAATAGACAATGATGGATGTCTTCGCCTGACTAAACCATTAGACAGGGACCAACCTACCGGCTTTACTCGATGGCAGATCCTCATCATGGCCGCTGATCATGGTGGAAGACTTGGTTCTGACAGTCTACGGTCCACAACTGAAGTCATATTGGAGCTAACTGATATCAACGATAACGCTCCGTTTCTTACCAACGTAAGTAGTTTTATATTTTTATAATTTATTTTACACGATACACACTATAACAAGAGAGCAAAATACAATTTGAATTTAAAAATATTCTGCAACGGCCTTTTAAAATATTCGGCAATATTTAAATTTCCAATAATGTAACACATTCGAACAATAGACTACTTCGTGGATTTGAAAAAGCAAATCCTATGAACAACGAAATACTGAAAGATAAAACAAATATATTTTATTTTACTTTGAATACCTATTCTTTTAGTACAGATTCTGTATAACATTATTCTTTTCGATTCGATCAAAGCAATGTTATTCAATCCCGTGGAATTCTTAAATGTTCTCAAATTTCTTGCTTGATATTTATGTCCGTTTAAAAGGATTCGACCGTTTCGTCGGAACTATTATTTCATTGGAGGTTATTCATATAATCAAACATTTGACAATAGTTCTTCGAATATATAAAAAATATAAAGCATTTACCAGGTTGTGTGTTAAATATATCAGTATTCCTTGACTTACTCGTATATAGGATAGGTGAACAGTGTAGGTATGTGTAAATATCCATGTTACGGGCAGCGATCGGTCCTTCATTTCTGTTTATACGAAATGTACAGTAAGCAAACAATATTCAAAAAAACACAACGGTGGCGCTACAACCTTTTAGGTCCGGGCCTCAGGTTTCTGTTTCCGTTTCGTGATCATTTATTGTACTTTAATAGACAAGAAAGTAACCAAGTAAAGTTCTTTGCTGGACACACCGTCGATTTTGTTACGTCTAAGGTATGCCGGTTTCCTCACGATGTTTTCCTTCACGTGTAAGCGAGTGTTTAGCGCAAACGGAAGTCCATTGTAAGCGGTGTGAAGCTACGACCTCAAGGATGAGAGTCGCACGCCGAAACAACTGGGCCATAACTACTTGCTGCAAACAATATACATAGTTTTAAGAATGGTACAAATGCCTACTTCTCACTAATTCTGTTCAGTTTCGAGCCAACCTCAGCTGACGTTGTTAGCCGAACTTAAAATCATTTTTGACACCTAGTTTGACATCTTAAACCTGACTACAAATATTTTTTTTAATTTACCGGATAATAAGATGCTAAAAAAGCAAAAAAAAAATGTTGCTGAATACCTAATGATTTCAGGTTTCATGCTCAGAAGTCTGTAATCATGATTATGTTTTTTTAATAACTGAATAAAAATCGACTACTGACAGGGAATTTGTGGTTTACACGAATGAAGATTATTACAATTCCCTCATCCCTAATCTCGAAAGTCAATAGGGCTTAAGTAAGAAATTAGTTAAAGTCATTTATTCAAATTTATGTTGATTGCCGATCCGCTAAAAAACTCGTCGGATGTTTACCCCGACTTCAGTGAAATATTCGAGAGCTTCCTTTAATCTCTGCGTGAAAGTGGATTTTATTACTTTTGTTACTTCTTTTAAGTCGTAATTTTTTCGAATTAATTTTTTATCTCGTAATGTTTCATCAGTAGTATTGTGTTTTTTAACCGACTTCAACTTCTTCGACTTGTAATTTTTTTAACCTAATAGAACCTACCTTCACCAGCTTCATACGGCTGAGCATTTATTTTCTAAAACACTTTAAAAATACATATTGCATATGTTATTTAATGGTGAAGTACCTAATGTTTGAAATCAGTCCAGTAATTTTTGAATTCGTACAATACAAACCTACAAAAATATTTAAAAAGTTAATGATTAATCCGACAAAATACCTTTACAAATCGTATACACCAAGACTGTTAAATCAAGTGTTATTAGTGTAATAAATGTTAATGGTAATGTAATATTATAAACTCGTTATTACATAGATTATCTTAATATCGTAAACATTACGACCATTGATGAATGCTCTCGACTAAAACTCTAGTTTGTCAAGTGAGCATTTTAAATCTGTACTTTCTATTAAAAATTACACTATCGTCATTAAAAATAAATTATCTAAAAATCCCATTAAAAATAAAACAGCGTTTGAAATATTTCGCATTATTTACAAGTATGGCTCACGGGTTGGTGTTATAAATAATTTAATATAAGAAGATAGGCAGCGCCGGCAATTATTTAATGCTATAATAATTAAATGATGTTGATAACTAAACGCATTATCTTTTAGACGTACAATAGCGTATATATCGGTGAATAGAATAATCAATTTGAAATAATCCGACAATCAACAAACCAATAGTGAAGTTTCCAGTCAAAGTTAATTACCAACGAGTAAAAGAACACGGCAAAGCCGATCTGTTTCAATATTCACTTAAATTTGCAATTTTCCCTCGAAACATGAGTTTCGTTTAGCGATCTCTTGGGTACGGGCCGTTAATTTTTCATGCAAATCCCTCTATCTATGAAAGCTCAATTCGTTTTCCGATCCTTTAGACTTCAGGTATTTTCCATTTCCCTCACTATCTACGAGGATTTAAATAATACACGGCTGGTCCGGTGGCTTAAGGCTGTAATGTGGTTTGAGTAATGGAGATTTATTTTGGGATCGGGTTAGAAATATGTAATACATGATATTGTATGGGCAAATGCTTGCGGCTTGTGAAGATTTTTCTAGGTCTTTTAAAATGTAAGAAACTCACTCACTTCTGTATTATTAAATATGTCTTAATAATCAAAATCGTTTCTTTTATTTAAATACTATTAATTTTACAATCATGTGAAACAAATAACATTTCTACTTACGTTATACTTTACTGAGTATCCCACAGTGACAAAAATAAAAATATTTATAATATAAACATAATATTTCATTTATGGTTTATAGGTATAACTTATTAGAGATATATAATTATGTATATCTCTAATAAGTTCTTTACATATATTAGAAAGATAATTTATAATTCTAGTATATTGTTTTTTATATATACTTGTTTATTTCCAGACGCAACCTGTGATATGGTATGAAAATGAGCCTCCTGGTCAAGTGGTTATTCTCACTGCAAAGGACTACGACTCAACTGAGAATGGACCACCATTCACCTTCGCACTTAATGAATCAGCTAGCTTCGATATTCGCTCCAAGTTCCATATACAAGGTAGGTGAAAAGAAAAAAATCACTTAAACGCAACTCAGCGCAAACAAGTAACGCCATTGCAACGTTGAGTCAAAAATACTCACGCTCGCCACGCCACTACTATTATATTTTTTATGCTCAAAATAAAAAAAAATACCAGGATTGCAAACTGTTCCAAATTTAAAATAGAGAATTTTGACGAATGCTTTTTTAGCACTTCGATCCTCTTAGCGATGACGCATAATTTTGCATAAATTCAGAAAAGCACTGAATTTTTCAGATAGCTTTTCTGTTACTGATTGAGTGAACTGACCTAAATTGCAACTAGGCTGACTAAAATGATTAAAATGAAAATTACAGTTGAACCCAAAATATGTTGCTCGCGATTTCGTTTGTTATTATATGATTTAATCACTTTGCTATCTGATCCAAAACAACATACAATCCCGATTATTAGGGATTCAACCTTAAAAGCTTGACACACATATACAAAGGTTTTATACATTCTAACGAAAAAAAAAACATTAATACGAGGCGTAGCACAGCACAAGTTACCTGCGACGAAATGATCTTTTAAAAGCGTTATATAGACTAAGAGCCTAGTGACCACGGGAAGGTTTATTTCAACTAAAAACGCGGTCAATAATTAAAAAAGTACCATTAAGCGTCATTAAATAGGACTCAGCAAATCTAAAAATGTAAAATGACTTTAGTTAACAATTTCCGCAGACGCGGCTTACAATTATCAACACGCAAATTGTTCAAATTGAATTGGCACTGGAGAAACAAAGTTAGCAGTTTAGCTTCGAGCGACATTTATTGAGATTTAACTACATTAAATTAGATTAAATTCAAAATAAATAAATTTATTTTAATTTTATTACATTTTACCACTATTTTGGGGGTATTATGTAATTACGATTAGAAAATTCAATTAATTGGGCCAGCATGGTATTGAAATTGTCACGTGACAAGCACGAGTTACACAGTACAGTTTTAATAGAGAAATAAAGGTTAATTTTTGTCTAATATCTTAGGTAAAAAATTGTTGAGGATACTTTTAGATGGCAAACGTCGTTTTGCCATGTATATTATTTCTAGGAAACCTTTTTTTAGTCCAATAAAAATAACTTTGCAATACAAAAAATTTGGGTTGATCGTAGAAGAGTGACAATTAAGGGTTGTATGTATTTTTGTATGCTGTATCATAAAAAGATAAAAACTAAAAGTTTTGTCTAAAAAATAAAAATAAAAATGACCACCCTTAACATTTAGGGGGATGAAAAATAGATGTTGTCCGCTTCTCAGACTTACTGAATATGCATTAAAAATGGTGCGTGTACTTATGTACGCGCGTAAGAAGTTATACTTCTTTGGCTTTCTTTATTTTTTTAAAATATTAAATAATTAATAACAAATATTTAGCGTTAATAATTTAACAATATTTAGTATATTATTCAATTATTAATTAATATTATTAACTAGGTATGTTTCATAACCTTTTAACTAAGTAACAATAGGTCTTTGGGAAAAAGCATTGCTAACTTTCTTTGAAAAAATAATTAAAACTTCTTTATTTGTCTAAAAGGTACTACTACAAATGTCATTATGGTCATTCAAAATTCTTGGCATAGCTGCTAACGTCACGCATATTCTATTTATTTTTACTTGCAGATTGTCTTATTCCCATCTCGCTCGCGCACGCTCGGCGCCCATACTGATAATTTTGTGTCACGGCGCGCGCATCGTAAAATTTCACTCTCATAAATTTTTCATAATGCGCCTAATGAAGTATAACTTCAAAAATTCATAATAATCGGTCGAGCTGTTTCGGAAGAGTATGGGAACGAACATTATGACACGAGAATTTTATATATTAGACAAATGAGTAGGTAGACATGACATTTCCTTCATTTTTATATTTATATTTTTACAGGCAACATTCTGTCAACATTGGTATCTTTCGACCGCGAGCAACGAAAGGAGTACAAAATTCCTGTAGCAATCACAGATTCTGGGACACCAAGATTAACAGGGGTGTCGATTTTACACGTTGTTATTGGTGACAGGAACGACAACCCAATGTCTTCTGGAGAAAGCAACATCTTCGTTTACAATTACAAGGTAAGAATTTGGCGACGTTCTTAATCCATCGTATAAAACTTCACTGAAATGTAAACCTTTCAGACAAAATTTCTCGAATTAATTTTTAAAACAAATAAAATATGAGGTTAGAAGACAACATTATTGTATGAACCATCCAGTACAATCAAAAGAATTAATTAACAGAAATATAACGAAAATTGTACACCTACGCAGCTGTTCATTCCAATATAAAATCTAAAATAACATTTCTGAAATACAAGGAAGAACGTTCTACGAATTGTTCTTTATTAATTGTGTTTAAAATGAATCCTAATGGAATTCAGTAATACCGGGTTTGAAGATTGGAAAAGGAGGAAAGGTTCTTAAACATATTGTTATATTCCAGTAATAATTGAAATACACTCTTTTTCAGGTTAAACTTAAGTTCTTATATATTTATTTCTGTCAAATGTTATATGTAAATATTAAGTGCATATTCAATAGTAGGTACTATTTAGGTACTATTTTTCATTAATCTCAAGCACATGCGCTTAGTTGAAATTAAGAATAATATTTTATGTAAAGGGTACGTAGGAGAGATTCTTGTGTTAAAGCGTGGCATAAATTCCTTAAATCTGCGCCGTAAATCGTCTAGATAAAGCCTGAAAATCATTGTTTCAACTCCCGAACGAGAACAACAATTACGTAAATAAACAATTTAATAGAACATTGAGTTGTTAGTCTATTAACACGATTTAGAGGCGACTAATTGCAATTTCGGAATAACTTAAAATGTTTGGATTTAATTGATGTTTGTTTATTTTGTAAAGTTATAGATGAGTACAGATATCACATTATTGGTTTTAACAAGTTCGTCAACGCTGAAGTCTACTACGGGTTTACTGTATGTTCTAAATTTAAAATATTTTCAATTTATTTTGAATTTAGAATTTCGTTCTGGCATGTTGGTAACAAGTAGATTTACGAACACTGCCGTAGACTTTACAATCGGCATTGCGTCGTGATGTTCAATAAATTCTGAAGACAAATGGTATTTAATTAAATGTATTTTCCTCAGACGGAAACTTACTTCAATGAGCTATACCGCTGGCCGTATTACGTGAGTATTGGCACTTGGTATTGTAATTATTGGTTTCTTTTCAACCTCCTTTTGTTTGTACTGGATGGGAATCCTTATTTGTTGTTCTTCTGATTTCATTCTTCTTATAACTTATGAACTTTTTTTAAGTTTTGTTCTAATTTTGTTCGTTTCGTTCGTTTTTTGAAATTAGTTCCAGTATTTTTAGGTTACAACAGGTAAAATTGTTAATAATTTTGGGCCTGCTGGCCCCTTGTATTTCGTCGAAATAGAAACAAGCTGTTTCTAAATATTATTAAGGAATATAAATGTGCTCACATTTCATAACAATTCGTTCAACAATAAATTCTCGCAGTAACTTAGGAAAACATAAAAATAAAATTTACATTGAGCAGTGCGGCAAGTAGCAAATGAAATACGAAAATGTCTTCAAAACCCGGCAACACATTTATAGCTGTTTACAAACCACCGTAAAATACTTTACGATTTTTCGTATCTGGAGGATGTTATCACAGTGCAAGTTTTTGAAAATTTTCTGGCAACATGAGCGAGAAAAATAAGTTAAACGTTTGAGAGTTATGATGATCTATACAACAACACAACTATACCCGACTAAGGGACACGTTCTAATTATTAAAAATAAAATATTTTTTCCTCATTTTATACATATTCTTAGATTACACTGATAAACATATATATAGCAATTGCGCTTACACCTTTTTTTAGGTCTGGGCCTCGGATTTCTGTATCTGTTCCGTGATCATTTCTAATAGGCAACTAGGTGATTCTGATCGTTTTCTCACGATGTTTTCCTTCACCGTACGAGCGAGTGTTAAATGCGCACATACATAGAAAGTCCTTTGTGTATAGTCGAGGTTCGAATCTACGACCCCCAAGAATGAGAGTCGCATAATGAAGCCACTAGACCAACACTGTTAGATTACACTAATGAAGTGCCGAAAAAAGCTCCTATCTCGTCTTAACTTGCTTCTAAGCTTGGTTCTTTGAAGTCTGGCTTAAAGGCCGGATATGAACTAAACTTTAAACGATTTACAGGTAGATCGCATAGTTTATTAATTTCCAAACATCTAAAAGCAAAATTTAACAATGTTTTTATAAATGAAGGCATAAAGTTGGTATAGATACCAGATTTTTCAACATTTAACCGACTTAAAAAATCCGAAGAAGGAGGTTAATGATTTTTTATTGCTAAAACTTAATGTATAAGCCAAAGAATTCAATTCCGAAAACACTGCTATGCTTTAATTGTTTTCTGTGAAACATACGTTTCCGCCATTTGTAATATCGTCTATTTACATCAGGTAAATAGTGCTTTAGGTAGATTTAAAACTACCTAACATAAAACTTTCAAAGTGTTCACAGGAGGCACGCCAAGAGTGAATTTTTCCAATGAATAATTAACCCAGCCATTATCCAATAAACTTAATAACGCGATAACACCGGTGTTTTATAATAATATGTGACTATTAAAATGTTAATTTCGCCTTAATGAAACCGGCTATAGTGGTGTGTGCGTAAACAAGGATTATATTATGTGGAGGCAGTTTTTACTACCACCCCTCCCATTTCGCTAAGTTACGATGCTTGTTTTATTCTTGACTACCTTTAGTGGTACTAGTAGGTTTTTGTTTTATTAAATCTTCCTTTGTTTTGCCTTTGTGGCGATTTAATAGACTATCGATTTTCAAAGAAAAATGTTTATAATCTCACTTGAGTTGTGCTAAATGGACGTGCTATTTCCGCAATTGAAAATAAAAAATATTACATAAAACAAGTGAGTAATTTTGTCTTTAGCTTTTTACTGCAAAACTGTATTATCTCGACGTTTAAAAAAAAAGGGTGCGTGTACTTATGTACGCGCGTAAGAAGTTATACTTCTTTGGCATTATTAAAAATAGTTTTTGATTGCATGCAAATAATTAATTACAATTAAATAATCAAAGACTGGAAAAGGAGTCATTATAGTCAATAAAGTTCAGTTTACATTTGAAAAATTCAATAAATAAATATTTATTATTATTCTCTTACATTAAGTGTAACATAAATTCTATTATTATTCGAATGTTGTTTTTAAATTATGTCCAATGCCGTAGCATCTTCCGTGGGCAACTTCATTCTGTTAATTTTGTGTCACGGTGCGCGCGCATCGTAAAATTTCACTCTCATCAATTTTTCATAACGCGCCTAATGAAGTATAACTTCAAAAATGTTATCTACCCAACCATATAATGCTTTGCACTAATTAATAAGTTACCATATTTTATTAACTATCGTGAAATTAATATCGATTATCTGTTATACAGTTAATTCAATAAACCAATGGAATTGAACAGGATTGAACAATAGTCGCATCGCTAAGGCGGTGTGACATTTAACCAAATTAATTAGTCGACGACTTAGCCACTGTCTCGCTTCTTATGAACTAGATATTTACCGAATACAAATGTACTCATAACAAATGTTAAGAGGGTTATTTTTAATAATTGCATGATCTTAAACCTTGCTAAAAAGGGCATATAGTACCTACAGTACATAAACGTATTAATTTTTTGTAGGAATCCTCGAAAATGCATTTCGTTTTCAAGCATAGACAATGTGGGTAATATGTGTAAAAAAGTAAATAATTACTGTTGACGTAATCACCAAATAAGAAAATCAAAGACACCCTCGCTGCTCGCCCTATGTCTTATAATAAAATTTTAAATTTACTTATTATATAGACATTGATGCAATGAATCTAAATAATAGAGTTATAAAACTAAATAGTTTATCCATAAAAGCAAGCTTTTAAATAAGCAAAAGGCTTTAAATAACTCATGTAAACGCTTTTTATATATAAAAAGTCAGAGGCATTTCGGACAACTGAAAGTGGTGTTCCAATTTTAAAATTATAAAGTACTGTTTGTTGTATGTAAAGCACGCCGTTTCGCACACATCAGTAATTCAAGGCACATGCACAAATTTAACGAATATTCTTTACACATTTCGAGCATTTTATTGTAAACACGTCCCAGTTTCGGTTAATTTATTTAAGATTTAAATTTAAAGAATATATAGGCGTAGTCCGGGAGCTGAAATCTTGGTCGTTATAAAATTAAAAGGGTTCGTAATAAATTCAACAATCATCAAATGAATTAGAAAATTAAACCGTTTTATTTACGGAGGGAAATAATGTAGCCCGCATTGTTCCTCATCAAAACCTTTTAAGAGATTTACGTAATTTAATTCGAGCACTAAAATTGTTTTAATACTTTTTATAAAGCTTAATAATAATCAATAATTATATACCTTTTTCGTTCAATTATTATGACCGAAAGAAAAATTGGCGTGGGATGTTTTTTTTAAATTATCCATTCATAAACGCAGCAGACTTATCATCTGTTAGGTTAATAAACAGCTAAACAAACGCCTGCCAATTATATTTTTTATTATTTTTGTTAATATTTGTTATTCATTTGTTTATGCACTTCAAATACGACGTTTTAAAAGCCACCCACGATATGCTATAAATCTGTCTTTTACAGGGTGAAGCACCGGATACGGAAATCGGAAGGGTGTTCGTAAACGATCCGGACGATTGGGACCTTCCGGACAAGCGGTTTATGTGGCTACCGTCATATGAGCAGAGAAGTCCGTACTTCGACGTGCATAGTAATACCGGAATGATTACTATGAAGCAAGGAACTCCGAATGGAACTTATCTTCTACACTTTAATGTAAGTATGACTATGATTATGAGAGAATTTATCTTAATTGTATTTCTCGATTCTCAAAAAGTTATTCTCAATCTCAATTACCGTATTTTAAATGCTTTTGTTTTACACGAATAAGACGTTACTATGGCAACTGTACAAAAACACAAACATAAAATTAATCCAGGATCTATACTAAGGCTGGCAACGTAAAATAAAATAATATTGGCTGATATAGGGAAATAACTTAATACAGAATTAGTTAACTATAACTAACTATATATTAATAAAATGAGCTTTTAATGGCAAATATACACATATTTAAATTAAAAAATTTACTAGCTCAATTAGAGCGCTTTTCAACAGTCGTGGTTAGTAAATATCGTATTATTAGCATGTGTACAATACGTAATATATGTATTAGGGAGTGAAGTGAATTTTCAATGAATTTTGCGTAGTTTTAGGTGAAAACAACCTAAAGACGACTGTAGATTTAAATACAAGTTATTTGCAAGAGTTTATTCTCCTATATATTTCTTGTCTAGGGAATACTCGTACTCCAAGATTTATATACTTAATTACAATATGTTTCTTGAATATCTGTAAGGTGTTACATTAAAAATAAATAAACTAAAGTGGAAATGGGCGAGGCACATGGTAAGAGGAACTGAAAAGTGGAGCAAAAAAGTACTAAACTGGTGCCCAAGGTACAGAAAACGAAAAGAGACAGACAAGAAGGTGGATTGACTAAATAAAATAAAAAGCAGGTGGTACATGGCAGAGAGTGGCACAGTGCAGAGAGGAATGGCGGGATTTGGCCGAGGCCTTTACCAAAAAAGGCCACACAGATACCTAAAAGAAGTGTGATTGTGCAATAGAAACGTTATTAAATTTAAAAGTATCTAAATTAATAAGGCTATTATTATTATTATTGTTTTTATATCATTTAATATCTAGTTCTACGTTTACTTTTTAAATAACGTTTAAATTATATAAATATTAATTTTAATGATTATGTGTTAGGATAAGTTTCAGAGTCGAGACGTATGACTTCGCTAAGTATGACTGCCGCAAGTCAAAAACGTATTGAATTATATAAGTTATCAACTGATTAACATAGCTATCTGGATTGCATTCCTATATTTATAACGGGGATCTGTGCAACAGACTGGTTCTGGCCCTTGGTATCGCCAACAACCGTGGCCTTCGCACATATCCCATAGGTACAAGGAACCCGAGTTCTTGGGGAAAATAACGCATTATAGCGAAATTTTCCAAGACTACAGACTTCGAAAGGCTATGAATCTAGAATATTAGCTATTTACCTACATGCAAATGAAACCTGTCCTCGCTTTTCTGATCATTGAACCGGCTAATACAGAGGCAAATCTGCGAGCTTTTCGTAATATAATTGCCAATCTTCACAAAGGCTATGGTTAAATATTCGACCAGTATTAGTGAATATTTTATCAGCTCCCGGACTAGAGCGGTTCTCTTGGATTTAGTGGCCGGGAAGTTAATAATTAAATGCTAAGTATTTGCGGTGACCTGAAATACCGCTCCTTGCGCTATGCGTAGGGCTGCCAACGCTCTTTCTGTGGAGGAACTCAATTTTGTGTTCCATTTGATGTGAAACATCTATAGCCGCACGTAAAACCGATTTCTGGCGTGGCGACGCATGCCGTGGCGACGCGTCGCTTTATGATTGTATATATATATACAGTCCATATGCAGTAGTGTGTACGGTGTGGTATTTCGAAGTCACTGATTAAACGAATTAAGTAGTCACGATTTCAAATAAATTCGTAAATTTTTGTATTTAATGAAAATAATTGTTTATTCAATAAATAGTCATCGTTATCTGGAAAAAAAATCGTAATATTTTATTTTATCATTATGACATATTTATACGTAGTTCCTATCACAATCTGTTCTTTTCTTCATATTACTTTTACAAAATAATGTCGATGTTTCACATCTGCCAGGCGTCCCGTGACGGCTCACATTTTTTTAAAATAGGTATTATAACAATATTTATAACAATCGAATACCGAAAGCAGTTACGTAAAGTCAAATCGAGAATAATATCGCATTTGAAATCTCACCATAGCATACATTTCCAGCTGTCATGACTATTATTACTCCTTTAAAAGCTTGAAGCTAATTTAATTTTGCTAACTATATAAATTTAGATTGAATGAAAACAGTGTTTCCATATCTGCGTCATTTAAAGAGTTTTTATTTAGACGCAGAGCTTTTACATAAAAGCTTTTAATTAATACGTTAAACAAAGTTATTTTAGTGTTAGCAGCCCTACGTCTACGTTTAACAGGTCTATTGATTTCGCTAACACATTTTTGCGTTTAGTTTTCATTTGTATGATTTAAATCGCACTCGGTTCGGTCAGCGCATTTCGCGCCAACATAAATTTTATAAGTTTTTTTAATGATTGTAGTTTAATTTTTATAATATTTATGGAGCAATAGTTAACTAGGGTCTTAACGCTTAACTGTGTTATAATATTGCATATCTTTAGTTTTGTCATATCTAACTCTATTAATAATAAAATGGTTTCGACCGACTTAGTATCCCTAACTAGTAAACGAAATTCGACGTAATAATTACTTACGTAATTAATAAAAGATTAATTGATATAGCGTATAATAATTAACTAATTAGGGCTTACTGGCACTTTCATATACTCCTATTGTTTAAGAACATGGACTCTTCTGTGTTTAATAGCGATTAAAGGCAAGAAAACTCACACGCACTGGTGAACTGAAAGATCTAGAAATAGTGGGCGAGTTTATATCCCTCGGTTCCCTGATAAGTAGTCTAGAACGAACCGAAAACGAAATCCGAAGAAGAACCCAGATGACCAAAGATGCAATGACAAAACTGTTGTGTTTATAGAAGGACCGGAATATTTATTTAAAAACAAAGAAGAAACTGGTTGAGACTCTGGTATTTCCGATTTTCCTTTATATCGCTGAATCCTTGACAACATAGACATCTGAAAGAAGAAAAATCGATTCTCTGGAAATGTGGTGTTGGAGGCGGATGCTAAGGATTCCCTGGACAGCTAAATAAACAAACGTGTCCATTCTAAGACGGTTCCAGGAAAAAAAACGTTTTTTGACACTTTGTTCCGAACGCATCCTGAGTTTTTTTGGACATGTAACACGCAAAGATCCAGAAAACTTAAAATCACTCATCGTGACTGGCGGAGTGGACCTGGCGGAGTGGACTCGCTGGACCGATCAAGTAAAGGCCATTAGGGGCCTTACCAGAACCCAGGCGCAGAGGCTTGCCGAAGGCAAGGGAGAGTGGAGGAAGTTGTGCGGCGCTACTCACACGACCTTCAGAAAAGAAGAGTGCGACTGAAAGAAAAGTAGGCAAGACATGGCCTTCCCTCGACTGAAACAATGTCGCCAGGAATCAAACTTTAGTTATAGGCCATTCACCACTTAGTCGGAAATCTGTCAATATGTATAGTTGCATATATCGGTGGATTGCTAGTGAACTAAAAATACATTAACCTATTTCGAATGTTAAGAGAGTACCTAGGAAGTAACTACTTCGTTTAAGTAACTTTTCTAACATTCAAACAAGGCACGATAAATATAAAAGCAAGCAGTTGGTATAAACATTGTATGCCCTAGAGAATAATGCTTGAATGCAGATTGTAATATAATATTCTCGGCGTTATAAATATCACGCTTTTTGTCCGTTGGGAATATTCTTTTTTACTATGTATTGTTATGGTAAATTTGATGTTTCGAATTTCAACAAGTTCGTTTTAATGATATTCATGACCACAATTAAGGTTTATATAAAATACAAACGATATCGCCTTTCGTTTGATTGTAATTTTTAGGCAAAAAATTTCGTCGACGTATAGTTACTAGCTTTTACTTGACACGCGTTCTAAATCAAAATCGTGAAAAATTCATATGATGATATTTTACGATGAAATGTAGTCTGTGGCTGCTATGTAAGAAAATCACTACTATGAAGAAATGCTTTAAAGTCTTAACACAATAGTCGTCACGGATAAAAAAAACATTTTTTTACTTACACGATTTTTTGTTAAATTCGATTTAACATTTAGACATTTCTTCAAACTTATTTTTATACATAAGGAAGTCCTTTTGTTTTAAACATTCAACATGTACGAAAGAATTGTAATCTGGTCACCCACAACACGGGATCCCTAGTGTGGGGACTAGCGTTAGATTAATTTTGTCACAACCATATCTTTTATAAATAAAGTTTATTATTATTATTAAGAAAAGAAAAATAATCCAAGTTCAAGTAGTGATGTTGCAACCCTTTTTTGACCTCAGATTTCCAAGTACATTTTATTTATAATGTTTCTTTATATACATAAGACGACTGCCGGTTTCTTCGCTATAATTGCCTTCACAAAATAATATCAGTTGGTACACAGCCAGAGTTTAGGAACACCTTGAAAAACGTACCTTCTTACTATCTAAATCTACCTTATAACTAAGCAGTGCTCGCAAAAGTATCAATATAAATATTTATTTTATTAGGTGACAGAAGAAAATGAACCATTAGTACCATTCCACTGGGTGGAAGCTACAGTGAATGTGACCATCAAGGAGATCCCAGAAGAGGCAGTGGACAAATCTGGTTCGATCCGGTTCATAAATATAACCGCTGAAGAGTTTATTATTCCAGAAGCTGATGTGAGTATACAGTTTTATTAGTCATTAATTATGTATGAACTTTGATATCGCTTGTTATCAATAAAACTTGGTATATCATCAAAACTATTTTAATTAAAGCATCCGTTTAGCGCTGAATAGTAAAAAACCGGAAACGGAACGACTAAATCTATGATTATGGTTGATAAAATTTAAGTTCCCACTCAAATTACTGGTTTCAATTGGGACTTTGAAGATCTCCAGTAGATCATTGCCATTAAAAAAAATCCGTATTTAGATGCCTCTAATATGCACTTTAATATATACCTATAACATGTCTTGTATATCATCATTCATTGGTCATTGGTCTAGTGGTTAGTACCCCTGACTGCGAAACCATGCGTCCCGGGTTCGATCCCCGGCTGAGACGAACATCGATGTGATGAGCATTTGATGTTGTGCTTAGGTCTTGGGTGTTTAAATATGTATTTATATGTCTATCTATGTATAATATGTGTGTATATCCGTTGCCTAGTACCCATAACACAAGCTTCACCAGCTTAGCATGGGACTAGGTCAATTGGTGTGAATTGTCTAAAAAAAAAAAAAAATATTTGCATAACTTGCATATATACATCCTGTAGGCATTCTTATTTTAATAACTTGCATAGTAGCTCCGTGTGTTTAAGTGTAGATAACAAATGCACATTCGTCAACGTAATTCTAGTAGGTATTCAGCTTTTGGCTCCATTGAAGATATTCATCTTTAATCTTGTATTTATATAGCGCATATTAAAACAAATATACTACACTGATGTTTTCACGATCTCTAAAGGTAAACAGTAGGTTATTATTAACCTACTGCTACTACTACAAAATTTAAATTAAAATATTGTATACAATATACATATTTAAAAATATGTCATACGTTACAATTTCGTAATCTCAAAACGTGTTGTCTGATACAAATGTTATCTTAAGCATTATCTTAAATATTCTGGAACAAAATTAAGCTCGTAAAGGCACTTTAGATCTTAACAGAATATACCTTCGGATAAGCGTTATGAACTTATGTGGCCTCACCTCCTTAGTGACGTCTTCGCTTCAAGGATTTAATTATCGAGACAGTCTAGAATCTATTAAAGCTTTAAAACCACTCCTTAAAGTTTTTATATATTCTAGCTTGGGGCTAAACTTAATTTATTTTACCTAAACGAAGTGTCGTGACTAAAAAATTCTAAATTAGAACACCACCATCCGTTACATTGTAATCATATGTAACAAAATGATATACAATTTCAAGTTTCGAATGCCAACTTTCAGCTAACTTCACACCAAATGCGGGGACATCAAATCCACTGCATTTTAACCCAAAAATATGCACTATTTTCCAAATCACAAATCACGTTCACGTATAGCTTAAGTGGAATTTAGTCGTGGCCCGGACACGTCCCGGCGAATTGTGAGCAAAAATTACTGCTAAACGCCAGAAGCCGCGAAAAGCCGATGCGGTAAACCGCTTCGTAAAATATACGGTTTCGGTTACATAATACAATTATAATTTGCTTATATGCCTTTTTAAATATACGATTATAAAAAGTATAGGAAAAAATATTTAATAATGGAAGTCGTTTCAGATGATTTCAATGTTGTTATTTCAACTCCTTTACCGAGACTAATATATATTTGTGACGGGAAATATGTTTTTTTATTTATCATTGTATTAATTTAGGTAAAATAAATTTACCTTTACCAGATTTTAATATGTTTAATTATAAAAAAATGTGTGTGATACCTGCTACTCTAAATTCAGTGTTGCTGTGTATTATATATTTATAGACAGCTTCCCGTAGGTGCTTTACGCGCAAAGAAATACCTATCGGTCCACATTCGGGTAGCGCACCAATCATACAAATGTATATCGAAGAAATTTCGTACGAATTCCTACTAAAGTCTTAAAACAGCCATAAAACTTCACCCTAAAATAAACGTTCAAGAACTACACTGTTAGGCTACAAAGGTATTCAGCGCAAGACATTATACACTACACGGTCACTTACCCCTTGCCCACACTCCCCCGCCGCGCTTTTGGGGCCCCCAAAGCGCCCCCCGGGGGGCGGGCGGCCAAAAAAAAATTAAAATTTTTTTTTTGATTCCCCCCCCCCCCCCCCCCCCCCCCCCGGGGGGCCCCCCCCCCGGCGGGGGGCCCCCCCCCCCCCGGGGGGGGGGGGGGGGGGGGGGGCCGGGGGGGGGGGCCCCCCCCCCCCCCCCCCCCGGCGGCCCCCCCCCCCCCCCCCCCCCCCCCCCCCCCCCCCCCCCCCCCCCCCCCCCCCCCCCCCCCCCCCCCCATTTTTTTTTTTTTTTTTTTCCCCCCCCCTCATATAAAAAAAAAAAACACATAATTATATTTTTTTTTACCCCCCCCCCCCCCCCCCCCCCCCCCCCCCCCCCCCCCCCCCCCCCCCCCCCCCTTTTTTAAAAAAAAATAGGGGGCCCCCCCCCCCCCCCCCCCCCCCCCCCCCCCCCCCCCCCCCCCCCCCCCCCCCCCCCCCCCCCCCCCCCCCCCCCCCCCCCCCCCCCCCCCCCCCCCCCCCCCCCCCCCCCCCCCCCCCCCCCCCCCCCCCCCCGCGCTTAGGCGTTTTTACGTTTATGGAGAACTGCCAAGCCCTCGGGAAAGACCTTGACATAACGTCAAACATTACGAACGAAATACTATTGTGTACTAAATACATTACTTCAGCCTTAGGCTGTTACTTGTCCTCGAGTTAATGTAAATTATGCGTAGATATTATTGTAGGGATTCCTTTAATGCATAAATTATTAATAAGGAATAATTCGTTAATTATTAAACAAATTCTAGTAGAGAATGCGCGGAGATCTTATTGAAGTTCCTAAGTAATTGCGCTCGTTTATAGTTTTACTTCAGTTCTGTATTATTTATTGTATATCAATTATTATGTACGCTGTTTGTGAACATAAATAAATAATATATATTTTCTTTGCTGTTGTCATTTTAGTAGTTGGTTTCGTTTTAGGATCTTCATTTACTAAGTGACCGTTAAATTGTAGTCAATTTTAAATCTAAACGAGCCAGTTAACATACGACAAAATGTATTATAAATTATATATTGATAAGTACCCGTTTATGCGAAACTAAAACTTCTGTACATTGGTAGTTGATTGATATATATGTGTTTATTTCAGGGTATCAGCAAGAAGGACAAATTGCACCGTCGCCTCGCCCAGTTGTACAACAAGTCGCTCGATAATGTTGACGTTTTTACCGTATTCAGCAAGATGACAGTTAAAGACGAATTCTTGGATATACGGTTCTCTGTTCATGGATCACCGTACTTCGAGCCTGAGAAACTGGATAGCATGGTCATTGGGATACAAGAAAAGGTATTTATTTTCTAATATCATATATAAATGTTAGATTAAAATAAAATTGTATTCAGTAGAAATTTCGAAGTGATTAGGAATCTTTCATACTTCAGCTTTAGTAGACCATCAGAGGTTTGGTTTTGAATCTAGATACAACATTTACTTTAACTAAAGGAAATATGATAATCACATCACATAATATACATAATATATGCCCTATTATTGCGTGTTTAAAAAAACTATCCGACTATTCCTGAATCAATATTTAATTTAGAATTACAATGCAGTTACAACACACTGCTCCGTAACTTTAAACATTATTTAAAAGACGGTTTCTTGGTTAAAGAAACGTACAATATACAAAACACCAAAACTAAAATTAATCAGGTACAAAATTATTTTCAATGTCCTAATTTAGTATTTATTTAAACAACTTACGTTGAACTTTGGTATTACAGACGATTATGAAATAATATTCGTGAACGGATAATTTTAATATTATTATTGTGTAGGTACTAAAAAAATAATTATTTAATTATATTATATAAATATATAATTGAATTATAGTACAACAACCTCAATTAGCGTCTTATACACGTTGTCCGTATTGTTAGTCTTGAAACATATCTGACCTCAATATCTGTCAAACCATTTTACTTATGAAGTTAGACAACGTTTACATTTGTTACTTATGTACCTTTCAAAAAAGTCTTACATTGAAAGTTAAGACTCACGACAAATAATGGTCGAAGGTTTTATTACTATGGAGTCTTATATATGCGTTCTTAGAAGGTTTACTGACGTAATTTTAAATATACCTACCTCTACCTTGTTGAAAATAATATTGAAATTTCAATGTTCTGTTGTTAGTGCTAGTGACCTATTTTCACTTGAACAGTAAGTGTTTACTCCCTCCCTAAGCAATTCCAAGTTCTCTGCGGTTGAAATCGAGTACATATTAAGGGGTCTTGATAAAGATTCATGATTATTTACTTAAATGTAGTGTATTTTAACCCTTAATAGTACCATAATCCTTTATTGGACACGCGGAGACTTTGTTTATAACGTTGTTTTACTAAATTTAGACGAAATATATTTTAGATAAAGTCGCCCATTGTCCTTTTAATTTAAAATAATCGGTGGCGCTTCAACTTTTTAAAGTCTGGTTAGATTTATGTATATGGTTTGGTGATCATTTGTTTTTTATAATAGGCGTAGATGATCCCTTTTGTGTCTGATACACGCCGTCAACTTTTTGGGTATAAAGCATGGCGGTTTCCTCACGATGTTTACCTTGTTAAATTCGCATATAGAAAGGAAGGCAAATTGGTATACAGCCGGGTTCGAACCCACAACTTTAGGGATGAGTGTCGCACGCTTAAGCCATCACTATCTCAAACACAATTATTTAAGTTTTCTATTTTACTTTTTCCATCTAAATAATTAACAATTTAGTGTTTCCGATCACACGTAAATTGTACGCTTGCCATTACATTTTGTCCTATTTTTAATAAATAGAACTTCGTTTTTATTATTCTGCAATAATTCACGTAAAGACCAAACTAAGGGTATTTTTCCTAAACGTTTCACTAATGTCGTATTTAATACGAAGAAGTTTATAACTTGTACACATCAGTTCAAGGTATATTCATTCCATTCCATTATTAACCGTGATATAAGCAAAGAATTTCAAGGCAAGCTTATTTTATTCGAATTAGTGCAGATCGTTTATAAACGCATATTTTAATTAAAATAACAAAATAAAAATGCTCATCTGTCGGTAATATTAAACTCTAATTACGGTCTCACGTAAGTTGTTTAAAGTTTGCACTAGGGAATGCTTTCTAGGAGAAAAATATTTTTCTCTTAAAGCTACGTAACATTTGTAATGACCTCGTTAGTGACATAACGAGTATCGAAGCGCCTTGTCGTGATTTTTGTTAGGAAAATACGGCTGTTTATTGTTAAAGTAGCACCTTAATGGTGTTCTGAGAAGGGTTTATAGTCTAAGTAGATTACGAAATGTCACCGCGTTTTCGTTCCGTATTTTATAACTTATATAAACGGGTCCAGAATACATGGTTCGCTGTTTACGACATCAATTTAATAACAATACTAAAAACATTGACTATAAAGCGAAATTTTATTGAATTAATTAGAAGTTTCCAAAACTGTGATTGCATACTAAATGAATAACATAAAATTCTTTACATTCTGTGAATACTAGGTTCAAATTCTTATTTTTTGTATTGAAATTTGGTATTTAAATTTATTTACGAAAAACGTATGTGATCGCAATGTTTTTGCTGTAGATAAAAAAATTGAGTCACGGTTTCAAACATTCTTAAAGCATTTGAAAATATTCTTGATAAAAAATTAAATCTGAGATGTGAACTTGTTATTTTGGTGAAACTTTCTGTGACATAATTTTACGGAAATTTTTATGACTTAAAATATACATTTAAATAATATTTTTAATACTAAGTTTCATTTAACGTATTTTTAACTAATTACTTGATTTTTTAACCATAAAAACCTAAGTTTTAATTCATGGCTTAGATGTCATTTAATAGCGAAAACAAAAAACATATTTATTTAAAATTGAAAGTCTGGAAAGGAAAATAAGACTCTTTCAAAATCAAAACATTTTATTTCTGGTTTTAACTCTCTGGTACCACTGTTCTATCCTTGAACAGGATCAAATGTTAATAAATAGTCAAAAACACAAACAACCTTTGATGTTTTAAGAACTCTTTCTTTGTCAAGTGTAGTTTACAACGCAATATATTTTACAGCTAGAAGAAGAGCTCCAAGCAAAGATCTACATGGTGAAGATAGATGAATGTCTTATTGAGAAAGAGCAGTGTGAAGACGCGTGTCGCAATGTCCTGACCAAGAATAACGTCCCGCTTTCTGTCTACACCAACACCACGAGCTTCGTAGGAGTATCAGCAAGAGTGGAGTCTGAGTGCACTTGTGACGTTGAAGAGCCCCTCGTTTGCTTGAATGGAGGTAAGAGCATCACAGAACTGAGTACCGTATGAGCCCGCGGAATATGTGCATAAGGTAGGCCGATGGAATTATAGTTTTCCTAATTCTGCCGTAATTATATGACAAAGTTTATAAGCGAGCGGGTCATATCTATAATAAATATATTTAACAGTTATCGGTGATCATTTGTTTTTTTCAATTTGGCAACTCCGTTTCCGTCGTGGATATACATATTTGCTTCAACGACTATAAGTTTGGTATGAAAGGCTTATGGTATAATTTACGTTCCGAATAGCCACCTTGGGGCCTATAAGTGTACCACTAGTAAAGCTAAAATGTAATGCAGCCTATCATTATTTCTGAATATGAACACCGTTGAGTAAATTACACTTTATTTATTAAAATAATCTTATGTTTTTTTTGTATTTTAATAATGGTAATGCACGCTACAATTGCTTACAAAAACATTTATAATCTTACAATTTACGATATCATAATGACTGATATTTAACAAATACGACGACTTTGAAGAAAAGTGTATCAATTATTAAAAGACCAGCAACGTATTCTCGAGTCATCTAGTATAGTGGCGGCCACATCTACCACTTGGCTTCCCGTGATATAAACAATTATATCGTAAAAATAGATATTTTATAACAAATTATCCGCAGGTACACCATTCGCTGATAAATGCGAATGCCCCGAAGGGTGGAATGGTCCGCATTGTGAGCAAACATCTATTGCCTTCCACGGGAACGGCTGGGCAATGTACCCATCACCCCCAGCGTGTCACGAAGGCCACGTGACCTTGACTGTGACGTCACACTCGAGTAACAGTTTGATCTTCTACCTGGGACCGCTGAGACATAACCTACTTTTAGATGTGCAAGGTAAGTTATTTAATAAGTAAAATTTACTTTTAGGGTTGCCTGGAGGCGACTGCTTTGCGATAAGGCCGCGTTGCACCGTGGTTTTTTAAAATTTATTTCTGTATATAAAAATGAATTGTTGTTTTGTGGTAGAGAATATTTGTGGTAGTTCAGGGAAGGTTTAAACATAAATAATAAGTAAAGAAAAATAGTAAAAACGACAATTGAATTTTCCAATAAAAACTGCTAGCTGGAAAATATTTGTCTTTTTAGAAATAAAAAGTCGTCACTAGGCTGTTATATTATTAGTTAGTTATTGATGCTTTCAGAAATTTGTGTTTCATAGCTGTAGTATGAGGTCCGATCTCTTTGGTCTGCTTTTCCAAAACCAAATAATGATAATTTTAAGAGAATATATAGATATACATAGTATGCATAGAATATTATAAACACAAACAGTTGTCTTATTTATTTATTTATTTAAAAGTTCGAAAACAACATGTATGCATAAAATTATACAAGAAAATATGACATCATAAATTTTACACACATACACATCAATTATATTAGAACATAAGCAAGGGGAAAAATAAACAAACAAAATAAAAAAATTAAATCAATAATAACTAAAACTAAGTGAAAACTCAAACCTCATTAAGAGTGTGATAAACAAAGTATAAGTTCTCATTATATAGTTCACGACCGAACAATCTTAACATTATTACTTCATTTAAAAAAATCTAGTTTTCAAATCTCTGAAAATACCATTATTAAAAACAAAAATATCTTAAATTAAATATAACAATCGTAACACAAATAAAAACTATAAATTCTCTAGTAATATCAGCAGTTTTCCGATTTCAGAAGCAGTTTAGATGGTTAACTAGTTTTATTTGGAATCTGTTTCAACTAATGTTGCTATAAATATCGTAAAATGAAAACATATATGTTATAAAGTTCAGTGCAACACGGATTTATGATTGTTATTGTTTTCGTGAAGTTTCTTTTATCTTTACAGTGAATGGGATTAAGCTTAAGCTATTTTGAAATATTCTTGGAATTAAGATAAAAGACGATTAAAATGGATGAAGGAAACTTTTTATATAGTACAAGTTTTTTTTAATACATGTGTCTTTACTAAGACATCATGGAACATTACGATCAAGTCTAAATTAAGACTTATAAGTAATTTAAGTCTAACCTAATTGACTAAGGATATTTAACATAAGAAAGTGTCTACACTACTTACAGTCTATAAAAAATGAAGACACTTTGTTTTGACATTTTTTTTCACTTACCACTGGTTAGCACTTAAGACTAACTTACACTAACACTATTTAAAATGGTTTTGTCCTTAGTTTTCTCATTAGTACAAGTGAATATCATATTATTTATATATGTGAGTTTCATAATCTGACTACCTTGAGTGTCGGGGTGGAAATAGGCATAGGCAAAAATAAAAAATAATTTAAGTACAGTATGTAATGGTGTCTTAATTACTATGGGGACTAGGGTTTAAAAATCGGTCATTTCCGTTTGCGTACATATCAGTCTTCCTTCGAAGGTATGTGATAACTGAACGCAGCGCCTTGCATATTGTTCTAGTAACATAGTTTTAATACGCAAACCAACAATTATACACACATTGTACGAGCCAAAGCTGTACATTTTGCCCAGGTTTTCTTAGTTTTGTAAGCGCGGCGATTTTCTAAATCGGCGAAGTTAAAACCCGCGAGCTAAGTTGTTCGCTGACACTTAGTATAGCAATTATATACAGGCGTCCCAGAACTATGGGACATCGAGGGAAAGTACCTTAAATATCGTAGATAGGATATTTTGCTGAAAGAAGACTTTATTTTATTCTGAAAAGTAAGTATTACTGCATTTAATAATTTTCTAATAATTACTTGTCTCGTCTGGGAACCGAACTGACTCAAATCCGATAAAAACCCCTTTATTTTTTGATGCCAAACAAGAGGACAAAAAGTAATAATTCTTCTTAAGTAACATAGTATTTTGAAAGAAAGGAACAACGTAAAATGTTTGAGTCAAATTTCAAGAAAATTATTGATTATTGTTATTGTCTTTAACTTTTAAGTCGGTTTTGATCCCAGACGAGACACGTAATTTTTAGAAAATCATTAAATGCAGTAATACTAACTTTTCAGAATAAAATAAAGTCTTCCTTCTGCAAAATATCCTATCTACGATATTTAAGGCACTTTCCCTTGATGTCCCATAGTCTTGGGATGCCCTGTATTTGTTTAAAAGCATATAATAATTTTGCATTAATAGATTTTCTCAGATGTAGAATAATGCTAATAAATAGTGCACTATATTTTTGCGTTATTTAAAAAACTGCCCCTGACCCCCGTTGGTATGGTACGAACCTGAACTGTACACACATTACATAAAATTTCGACGAAGCTCATGATAAAGCTTCAAATTTAATTTGACAGTTCCCAATACATTTTTTGCAATAAGGCGTGTAGAAAAAACAATACTGAAACTTGGCAAGCTCTCCGATAAAGCAAATATTCTTTAGGTGCCAAATTGGCAATCTTGTGAAGTGAGGCTACTTAACTAGATCGGTTTGATCTAATTTGTGTCGATTGCAACTGCAAATAAAGCTTTCATCGATTTTTCCACTAGCTAATGCATATAGTTATTTCTAGACTGGTTTTAAATTTATTTTATTTATTAACACTTCGTTGCAGACACAATACAATTGACATAATTGAATAAAAAGGGCAACTGGCGGCTAAATTTAAATCCATTTTTCAGTGTTTTTTTTTTATGTTACTCTACTAAAGATTTTTTGTCATTTTTTAAATCAGGAATTAAATTTGCAGAGCCTTTTGGAACATCACGATATATTATTGATACCTAAATGAATTCAAGATGCTACAAGTATCATTCTCAATATCCATCGCATCTACAATTTTAGTATCTAGAATTGGTTTTACTCTTTGGAAGCAATAAAAACTTTTGTCACGTAAACGAAAGCGAATTTAGTAAATGTTATTTTATTTTTACTACTTGAATAAGCTGTCTGAAGCAATAACATTTCGGTTTTATTCTTTCCTCGGTCAATGTTTATAAAGGAAGAAAAATACAATTGAACATGAAATTCCAGAATAAATCGCCAAAATCAATCTTACGTCCATCAAAATTCCATCGTTATATCAGCTACGTAATTATTAGCTCAAGAAACAGAGAATTTATATTCCATCAGTATCTTTGTCCTCGGCTGTAGTGTGAAGATAAATAACTTCCAATACTCCATGTATACGTTGAACACAAAAAGAATATTTCAATTTGAACTAGTACTTCCAGATATTATCGCAATCAATCTTCATTCAACTTCTAGAAAAATTGCACTTCAATGTTTCTGTCTAATCATGCCTTGTTTCCCGTTCCTCTCATCAAAACCTATGCTCAGTTTTGTATCACGTAGCCCAGACATACAACAACCATAGTGGTCTAAGCCTTGACTTGTTTAAGCTATCGCGGAATATGCTTAAGGAATATTAAGAATATTCATAGCGTTAAATCACCTGCATCATGAGCACGCCCCTCATACATCCTCAATACAATGTGAACCTTTTTGTATATATTATCTAATCCATCTTTGGCACTTTACTTTGGATGTTTAGTATAATTGTTTTTGTTGTATATCGGTCCACAACTCAGCATTTCTTAAGGCAGTTTTGCCGCGCAACACCACTATATGAACCAGCTGCCCACTGAAGTATTTCCAAAACAATCCGACTTAGGGTCCTTCAAGAAAAGAGCATACCAACTTAAAAGGCCAGCAACGTACTTGCGAGCCGTCTGGCAATGTGAGTGTCCAAAGGCGGCAGTGTCATTTAACATTAGATGGTCCTCCTGCCCGTTCGCCTCCTATTACATAAAATGTATGTGTTAGCTGAAGGATCACGAAATAAATAAGCAATAGTCAACTTCGACATATCTACCTAATGTGTAGATTTGAAATAAGATTTTTAGTATAAAATTAATATTGCAAGTATGCAACCTACAACATACTACAAAAACGTATTAGACTACACTTTCTTACGGCTACGCTAGTGGATAATGATTTTTTAATGATTTCGTAACGACTGACAGTCGCGTGCTATGATTTATGAGCATTCGCGTGATAGAACCTTATAAATATTATCAATAGTTACTACGAGCGTACTGTCTATTAATTCTTTAAATAGACGCAAGTCGCATGTAAGAAACAATTTTGATTTACACGATATGAACGAAATTTTGATATGTGCGTTATTGATCATTTAGGCAACTCAGGTGACAGGTCAACCAACCCAAATTATTGTTATGCCGTAAATTAACTCGCTAAAAGAAATGCGAGACCAATGCGGTCGAATTGGTTTAAAAGCGTTCTTAAAATGGCATCCTATAAATAAACTCTTCACCCATGAATGGTTTAATCTGTCTTCTGTCTGTCATCTGTCAAATTATGTAGATTTTTTTCTTTTTATACAATCGTATGCCAATAACAAAGTTTATATTTCAATTCGATTTAAATCCCTACATAAATTTAAGCCAAAAGCTTTAAGAAAGCTCCAGCTCTGAACTTAATATAAAGCTAAGTAGTAAATTCAAAGGGTAAGGTTGCTGACCTAATCTCCTATTCTTGAGCATAAATAATTTAACGCCTCTTTAAGGCTCCAGTTTTCCCTCTTTGACATTTTCGCTAAGATTTATCGCTTAAAATATACTATTTTCGTTAGGGCTTTGAATAGAAAGTTGTTATTATCCAACTATGTTATTGTGATGCGTTACACTGATAAAATGCGTCGTACGTCGTAGGAATAATTGAGGTAAATAAATCATATACAATTTAAGCATCACATAAAAAATACCGGTTTAACGCGAACTTAAAAAACTGTTGTACACTCCGACACCAGAAACTTGACATACATGGCAAGACCTCGGGACAGTTAAGATCAAGCTTTGAATAAAAAGCAACTTTAAATAATTATTATTAAGTTTCGGACATTCGACCTTACAATGCCGGCAACGCACTCGCGAGCCCCTTGCATTGACAGTATCCATGGGTGACGATATCACTTAACATCGGGTGAGACTCCTGCCCGTTTGTTCAAAAAAAATGCATTTTCTACAGTATATGTTGCAATGTATCTATTCTAAATTAGATGACATTTAAGGTGAACAAAAATTTTACAAAAATAAATATATTGCACTTCCACTTCCACACTATTCAATTTTAGTTTTTACTAGTAGTTATTAAAAATCGCTTAACAATGCGGATGAGGTTATTTAAATAAGACTTTATATATTATTATTTATAGTCTTATTTAAATAAAGTAGTAATTTTGTTTAAATTCACTCTTATTACTATAATATAAAAAAAAATATAATATAATTTTAATAACTTCTATATTACGAAAATTACGTTAATTTTGTTTTACGCCCGGCTGTCACGTATACTAGGAAACGTTATATTACTCTCATTATACCAACCTCGCTACTACCATACAGGATTTCCTCAAATATTATAAGCAAAAGACCCTTTTCCAAAATAATACCTTAATTGCAATTTTAAATCAAAAGCCAATTTCGTGAAAATCTTATATCTAGGTTTACATACAAAATATTTACTAATTTTAAAACGTTTAGCTTTGTAAAGACAACATTTTGTCATTAAAATTTACCAAAGAGGATAGAATTTTGTAAATATCAAATAATTATAATAATAATTTATTGTCATAAACAGGTAACAAAACATGTATCCCAGGATGTATTGTTAACTGTATTTCGCTTGTGACTTTCAGTAATTAACTAGTACTATTTAAATAAAAATATAATGAAACAAATTAAATTTATATATAACAAATCTGTTATTAGTTTCTCATTATTGACTTGTTTTAAACAAAAATACTTTCAAAAAAAATTGTAGTCTTAGAAAACTTAATAACTCGTGCCAAAAAATAGACGATTTTAAACACCACGTCGATCCCCGAAAATCAGTTCGTTTATGTCTACTAGGGAACCAATTTCGACCCAGAGGGTTATCGACCGCTTTGGGACTCCCTTTAATAATTCCGAGCTGTTATATTGTTTACATTGACCCCTTTAATACCGATAGAAACACCTTTATAATTATTACTTCATTATTTGTTGGTTAAGGCGGTAGAGTTTGTTTGTTTGTAATTAATATTCGTCGAAAGATAACACTGGCAAACAATTGATGTTTCGTGCCGTGAAACGTTGTCTTAACCCCACTTGACGTATCGAAATTTAATTATACGACGAACTTTGTTCGCGCTCTAATTATCTTAATTTCCATTAAGACTTAAATGTTTTAAGTCGATTAAGATTTTAAAGAGATATGCGTTTAGGACAACACATCGCTTTTTTTGTGCTCAGCCTTAGCTGTAACGATAAATATTATTAAAACAAAACTTCTAACCATTCACTACTTTAGCGGGACCTCTAACGTGCGAGGGAATGTTGAACGATGAGTAAAATGACAGTACGCGTCACTGGTCAATAGCATTTATCTAGGCCAATCACGGACCTTCGACCTTTCCATTCGACCAATCAAAATCAAGCGAATTGACAACGTTTATTGTTTCCTTTCGAAAATCCATAATCCAATCCAAATCGATAAAAACTTTATTTATTATTTTAAAATAAAGAATGCAGCTAGAATTTAACTAAATTTACGCCCTTGGACAGGCAATATTTAGTATCATGAAAGTATTATGTAAACATGAGCGCAGTAAATTTTCTTTTACATCCCATACTACTTAAAGTGCAATAAGCAGAGTTTTAGCTTGAATTTGAGCCAAAAACAGCAGCTCAAGCTTCGCACATAATCGCTGCGGTTCTTAATAGCACTTGTAGCATTATAAGCTGCACCTAATTGGAACAACATTAGCTTTATAACACCCAGCAAAGCGTGGCCACAGTAATGTGATTGTAAGCCTTTGTTACAACATTCTGTTATGAACACATGAAGGCATAATTCAACTTTTTTTTGTGTAATTTTATTATTAAACTAAAAATTACTAAATTAAGTCTTAATATGTTCTATACAGCTGATAGCCATTATTATAATTATGACTAATGATATCTGTTGTTTATTGAGTGCTTAATATGTTTAAATTATTTATTCATTAATATATATGTGGTTTAATAGTGAAAATTTTGTTGATTATAAAAAAATATGATGGATGAAAATTTTAGTAAAAGTGTATTTGAAATCTTAGGCTATGTTCAATGGCAAAACTTAGTTTCAAACCACAAAATGGTATTTTCATACAACTGTCACATAGCCGCTTAACCTCAAGCCTCAGAGAAAAAGTTCTAGAGCAGTGATCGACTTACCTTTGATATTAATGTAATGTCCATTTCTGTTCAATGACGCCGCTTTATCCGAATTAATTTTTTAATTTTCGTAATTATATTTTGTTCTCGCATTTAAAATAGTAAATTAAGATACTAATACTATAATCATGAAGTAGAAAAAAGGTCACAAGTTATATAGCAAATTTGTATAAAAATATAATATAATTTGTATTTTTTTCAAAATTGATAACAATTGTACGTTTTCTTTTTCTATAAATTTCTTTTAATATAACACAAAATAATAGCCTCTTCAGTCCATTTTCTACGTTCTACCAATAGACTACGAGCACTCTCCAACCGCGTTAGCGCTCATCATCTGAACGCTCTTCAATTTGATCGCGCGGACCTTACCGCGCGTTACATGTGAACATAGCCTTAATGTATATAAATTACGTGTCCCATGGACTCTAAATACCAACCATATCAAATTTCCACACCGTGTAGTATTGTTGTAGTAGGATATCTTACATCTATACCCGCAATATTATTTTATTTCAAAGTATTTTTTATTATTTGATAGTCACAATTGTAACAGATGGCGCTGTGTTGAAAGTACCAACGCTTCACATAAGCTACAATTTAATGGCATAACCACCAAAAAGGCATGGTGGTCCCCATGCCTGGTGTTCTCCTACCGTTTCCCTTGAATAGTTTGCTCCTATGTAATATAACAAAAACCTTAGCCACAGCAACGCTTGGCCGGTCTGCTAGTACATATATATATTTTAGTTTGATATTTTAAAATGATACAAACAAAACGTTGCAAGTAAAATGCAAAATAAGGCTCCTGTAGAGTGAGCCACGGAAGATAGTATTCGTAGTTGAAACCCAGTTCGTATAAATTTGTAAAATTTACCATAACATTTGTTATTCTAACATATATTTCTGTATCTTTGAGCACTATTATTTGCTTTAAAGTCTTACCTTTTCAAAATTATACAATACCAAATTACGTTGAATATTTTGTCTCTGATTTGCACCTGGTCTAAATGTATTTATTAAATCATAACACTTTTAAGCGAAGTCAATATGCAAATTTCTGTAAATATATTTACCAATTAAATATGAAGGGTGTTTTTGCATACACATATGCATTATGTATTGTCCTCAGATATTTGCGCAATTTTTGCTTTTAATCAACCTGACTTCACGTAGTGTTTGCGTCTAAGACCAGCAGGAATCCTTCCGTTGTTATCCTAGCACTGGCTGGGAAACTTCTACCTTGTATAATAAATGTATAATTGTAACAATGTATTTTTGTTTCAGACTTCATGTCGCTGGAGCTTGTCGACGGATATCCAATCTTACTTGTAGACTACGGTTCGGGTACTACTAAACTAAACAACAGCGTGGTGCACGTGGCAGATGGCAAGCCGCATTTAATAGAAATAGTTCTAATGAAGAGCTCCATTGAAATGTTTGTGGATAGATGCAAATTATCGACCTGCATGAGTTTGGCGGCACCAATTGCGCCTAGGCAAATTTTGAACGGTAATTAGGCTTTTTAAAAATATGGGTTTCAGCATGAAATAGGGTTAGAAATATTATATCAATTATTTAAATTACATATAAATGCAAAAGAACATTGAAGCAGCGTTCTAAAACGACGTTTGACCCCAGAGTTGAGAATCGTACACTTAACCACTATGTCAATACTCTCAGCGTATACTTGACAACATTATGATAATGTTATTTAATTTACGTCATTGAAATGTACTTTCCATATATGATTCACAATAATGAGATTATGTAGGATAGAATAGCCTAAGTTTTTATATGTAACATTGTTTACATGTTCCAAATAAAATATATTTAACAATTGTTCACAGTGAATGGTCCGCTGCAGCTAGGTGGCGCTAGTATCGACCTGCAAGACCTAGCTCGCTCGTTCGGCTGGCAGCACGTACCAACGAACCAACACTTTATGGGCTGCATCAGTAATTTTACGTACAACGATTTTGTAAGTGTTTTTAACATTTAACTAAGTCAATTCTATATAGGATTCGTATATTTAAAACGATCAGATCAGTTTTTATACTATTTCAACACCTCTATGCATTCTAGACATTGGTGTCTTCTTTATGTTTTATTCACACCTGTCTTTATGTTAAATAAATGAATTCTTGTTTAGTAAAATGTAAATTATTAATTATCTAAGTAGTCATTGAACTGTATTAGGAATAAGTGATAGGGTTCGCAATAAAAAATGGCTGATATGTTTTAAACTCTCTAAAATTGTACCATTCTACATTAAGTATATCATTGAGTGAAGCAAGGCTTATGTAGACAAAACTAAAACTAAGGCAAGTCAAGCTATACGCCCGCCCCAGAGCCGCGCCGTCCAGTATCAGCGAACTACCACACTAGCAGGGGCTAAGCCCGAACCGAGCATTTTCCGCCTTTCTAAGGAGAGGATCTCCACGAACTATCAAAACTAAATATATAAGCATAATAAATGACCGCGGAATGCGAATCATAAACCTAAATCATCGGTAAAAAATGTTACGAAACTTACACGTTATTTATAATTACATATTTTGCTGTTAAATCTTGTATAGTCCGAACTCTACGATAAACGATCGACCCCTGTTGTTAAATAAAATAACGACTAGAACTACAGTAGCAATATAGTGTAATATATTGGGACAGCTTTTATAGATTATTTAAAAGTAACCTATCTCGGTGGATTTCCCTAAAGCACTTTGCAAATAGTTTTCACTAAAAGATTGTTGTCTATTCATCCGAAACTGGAGTTGGCTAACAAAACTTTGAAATTATTAAAAGGTTTTTCCAATTGGTTACTAAAGTTAGGAGTTATTTTCCACGGTCCATTAAATTATCTGTAATGACAGAATAATCATTATATACCTTAATGATCACTCAGCTGAAAATAAACTACACATTAAAAAAAGCATAGAAGTGTGTCTTTTAAACGTTGATTGGTCTCTTACTATTTTGAACCTTAAGATGAGGAAACCAGAACTAAACATTGACTAATAAAAGTATTTTTAAAGAAGCTATTAAAACGCTGATAAATTAAAAATATAAAATTGTTACGACTTGTGTGTACAGCAATCACGATAGTATATACACTTCTGGACACAGCCCACCTTGCATTTTCAGTTTCTTTTGGTCCTACCTACGTGTTAGGGCTCGTCAGCCAGTTGCCCAGACGATGCAGGAATTGAAAACTGCCATAGAAGAGGAATGGGAGATGATCCCTCAAAATTTCATAGAGCGGTTGATAAACAAAATGCTTATCGTATGAGAGCTGTCGTAGATGCCCATGGAGGCAACAAGCGTTATTAAATTAAACCTTTATTTGATAAAACACGTTTTTTATTCAAAAATCAACTGACTTTATCAAGGAGCATACCCGACTTGTTAGGCGTATCTCCATGTGGTGTGGTATTCTAAATTCAAATTTAAAACAATACGATCGAAAAAGATGGTAAAATGTAACAGGTTCAAAACTGCATAAAAACTTTTTACTCGACCTAATATAAATTTTTAGGTAGGACCAAAAGAAACTGAAAATGCAAGGTGGGCCAATAGATGTGTCCAGAAGTGTATAAAGCAATGAGAAATAAATAGTAATTAAATTGTCATAGTTAAAATCCTATAAAATGTTTTTTATGTGCGTAAAAACAAAGGACTGTCTCAGACGCTAATAAATATCTATATTTGGTTATTAACCGTTGTTTTTCCACAGATGTACAACCTGGGCAGACCATCAGTAGAGGTGAATGCAGACCCTGGATGCCAGAAGAGCGTATTTACTGCTGTAACGTTTGGAATCGATACCAATTTCCTCGTTGCTATACTTGTGTGTATAGCCATATTAGTCAGTGAGTAACTACACAAATGTTTTACTGCGTGAATATTTCATAAATTAATCCAATTATTTTGATTGGATTTTATGATTTTTTGTCTGCCTTTCCGTGTTAATCATCAGTCAATCATAAATGGGTTTATGCTTTTACTTATTCTTTATGAATTATTGCATAGTTCTCGAGAATTTGTAACAAAAAGTTCCTTAGCCGAAATTGTAGTTTAAATAAAGTAGTCAGTACAAACCCAAAAGAAATGTTGCTTAGTCGGAAACGAACCTTTGTTTTCATAATAAATTATTTAATCATATAATGAACTTTAACATTGTTCTGAAATAATAGTCCTTTTTTTCTTAGTTCTTCTCCTGGCGGTGGTAGTCCACAGACGTCGAGCTGATGCGTGGGCAGAAAAGGAACTAGATGATATTAGAGAGAACATAATAGCATATGAGGATGAAGGTGGTGGTGAAGGAGACGCAGGATATGACCTGCATGTGCTTCGGCAGATGTATGATGGTCCACCTCCAGATACCGATGTGGCATTTTTACAGGCGCCTGGTAAGTTTTTGAAGTAAAGCGACAACCTCTTAAGACTGGGCCAGAGATTTCTGTTACATGATCATTTGTTTTTTATTGCAAGTAGGTGATCAAACAGGTCAAAGTACTAGTCAAGCTCTTAAATTAGAATATTTTAACTTTGTAAGTAACAACTTACATCTTAAGGTTAGAAACACGGATAGAATGTATCACACAAATTATACCGTCTGTTTATGAATTTGGTAATAACAAAATGATTTAAATCGCCCTTACAGTATATCACTTTATTATAATAAGGTGAAGGAACTTTTGTCTTACTAAACTTTTGCAACCAGGTATGGTAGGCGCAGCGCCGGATATATCCGGTTTCCTAGACGACAAGAAATCCGTCCTAGACCGCGACCCCGAGATCACACCCTATGATGACGTCAGGCATTACGCGTATGAGGGCGATGGCAACACTAGCGGCTCTCTCTCATCATTGGCTAGCTGTAAGTTTTTTCTTTATATCTTCCGCAATAAATCGGCTATAAACGCTCAGAAATTAGCGATATAAGTAAACTATTATTGATAATGTAATAATAATATTGGACAAGATTTATATCGACTTTGATATGCGCAAGATTTAAAAAAACTTCTTGAACGTATCTGAAGTCTGTCTCGCTAACCACGCTACATCACTTGAAACGTCGAGTAATATACAAATTCGCGATTATATCAAAACTGTTATTTATGTCGTTAAATCATTACGACCCACATTATATTACGCTATAGCTTTTCTATTGGTTTTTGATTTAGATATTTCTTTGCTAGATCCTTTACATACGTTTTAGAAAATGACTATCCAGAGTACAGTTAGGAAAAGATTCAGTAACGACTTAGCGCGAACCTTGACTTCCGTAATCCGATGTCATTACGGAAGTACAATCAGTCACTATGTAAGTCTCGTTTCTGAATCCCACTACAGTACAATTATATCAAATGAAATGTATCGATTTCCTTTTGTGTCACACCTGCCACGTAGGTATATTTAGATGTACGAGTATGTACTCGTATAATACACGGTGTCACTTTCTTTGGCCCGCCGCCGAGTTGCACATGCCAAAAACGATTTATTGTAAGTGTGCATTTTGGCACTATGACTTATTCCTATTAAGGTTAATGGTAACTCGACATCAATCATACGAAAATTAAGGGAATTTTAAAATATTAATTTGACTTTAATTCTGGTTTGAAAGTAGTCTAAAATTCATCTATCAAATTAGAAAGTTTTAGGATATTTTCATTCTAATTAATATTTTAGATTCGAGTAAATATATATGTTTTGTGGTTACCAGAAAGAGATCGCTCGAAAGCGATAAGGCTGCCAGTTGCCCTCCTTTTCATTCAATTATGTCAATTGTATTATATTTCTATATGCAACGAAGTGTTAATAAATAATTATTCGTTTTAAAAACTCGTTCGCGTCAAGACGTAAAATTAGAAACCATATACAAACTTCAAGAACTCTACCAATACTTTTTAACTAACATACATGTGCGCAAGCCGCTTCAGCAATCACAACGGTAGAAAAAGTTCGAGTAATTGAAAATACTCGGGTTTTATTAACTTCTCAATGATTACAGTAATTGATGCCATTTCACTACATACAGTACTCGATTTAATGAGCCAAATGATGTGCGATACGAGAAACGAATAATTAACGAACATTCTGTGCGTTTTATATTCCATTGGTTGCCACAAAACATTCATGGATGATCCATGATTTCGGTACATTGTGGATTATATCGTCCTTTTGATATAATTCAAAAACATGGCTTATTGTTACTGTGATTTAACGTTACTTAATAAATTACAATATGTAAACATATTTTTGGCATTTTCTAGAAAATATTCTCGTTCGTTCCGAAAGTAAAAGTTCAATGATCTGAAAGATGAAAGGGACAAATCGAAATGTATTTATTGGTACACTTATGAACGTCAATATTAAAAAGATTGGAATGTCTAAATTTACATTTTCAGACAGTTCTTCAGCAAATAAGTTAGCTAGAGTTTGTTGTTAGAATTTACCTAAATAAATAAATGAAAACCCTTACTAAGCTTCTCTTCTCACATATATTATCTCCACAGGTACCGATGATGAAGACCTAAAGTTCAACTATCTATCGACATTCGGGCCGCGGTTCCGCAAACTAGCAGATATGTATGGTGATTCGGATGACGACAGAGCGCCCCACGAGGAGTCCTGGTGCTAGCATCACGCTTGGCTCGTGTAGCCACACCAAGTCACCTTTGTATAGGCGTTTTTGACTATCTGGGTTTTTGGTCAGTGTGTTGTGAGTGACCCCACCGTAAGTGACTTTGTGATTACGCATTATGGCGTTTAGTGCTTAATGAAGACGCGGGTAGAATTGTAATGTCCAATGTTTTGGACAAAATACTTTCTGTATTTTTCTTTATTTTATTTAATGAGTATCTACTGCTCTCTAAGGCTTTTATGAATTTAAAAATAACTATTTAGAAGCTGATGTACATAATTCTTGGATAACCCAATAAAACACAAATAGATTTCATTCTTGCGAATTTAATTTATATTTTATGCAGGTAGTGCAGTATCTACCCGCATCTATGTCAATCGCTTATTATTACAATGAACATATTTTCGAAGATGGCGAAAATTCCTAGTGAATTAGAACAATTTAAAACGAAATGTGTAAAAAGTTAGCATTTTTCGATGTTAATATGTTTTAAGAATTGACTGATTTGTATCGTTGTTTAGGCATCGTTGTAGAAATGCCTAAATTACTTCTTGTATGTAATTTTATAAATAACACTTAAGGAAAATACTTATAATCTTAATTAAGTTAGATTACTGCATTTTTTGTATGGTTGTAAATTATTCGAAAAACGTAGTTTTCATAGTATTATTAAGTGACATTTATGACAGTTATAGTTAAATTTAAGTGCCATTGATTTCAATTCTATGTATTTTGTTTGCAAAGAAGTTGCCAGCGTAAAAAAATGGTGATATATCCCGCCCATTTTCGATTTTGTTTAATAATTTAGTTTTAAGTTTTTTTTTTACTTTTTGATGTCAATTGGTTTAGTTCGCTATCCAGCGTTTATGTTGTAACGATATCGTCCAGTTATTAATATGGTGCATTCGAAATAAATGTTTAAAATTAAAATTTTAGTTTCTTGTGGAAAACCTTTTCGTGTTTACATTCATAGTAACGGTAATAGTTAATTAATTGAAGTTAGACCTCTGTAAATATGTAAATTAAATCCTTATTCATACTTATGCATAAGTAATTTTATATGACTAAAATACAGGTATCCCAAGATCATTGCTAAAATGTCAAATCTTGTTATCCCATACAAATTTACGATGTAATTAATGCGGTAGAGAACCTTTTTTTCATAACTGTTCGTAAGAAACAGTTTTTTTATTAATAATTTTATGGCCTGGTAACGAGACCTTTAAGCCAAATAAGAAACAGTAGGACGATTCTGTAAACTAGGGAATTTTAACAGGAACTCACCTTATTCACCTCTATGGTTTATGGAACACGATTAATCATTCCGCTGGGTGAGGTGACTTCGAAATTTCGAGATTTTCAAAATACAGTTTCTTATTTTCATTTGTTTTCATTACTTGCATTGGACTTGGGACACCATGTAAGAGGCGATTATACAAGGTGTCTTATAATTATGCATATCAACGAAGTGTTATATTCACTAGTATAACTTCTACATCTCTTGGTGTCTAGGATCTATCCATTATAACATTCCTAAAATATAATGCTTTACCGAATTCCATAAATGTCATTACTTAAGTCTTAAGTACTGTCAATCTTAGACAGATCTTATAACAAATAGGCAGCTTGATTTAGTTTATAGAACGCAGGTTCGAAGTAAATATATTAGTACCGATTCCGGATTTCTTCTTTGTTGACAATCGCGTTCATATTTTTTCATATACCAGTTAGATATAAAAAAATCACTATTATACTCTGTATTTTGTGTTGCTCTTATTAACATCTCAAAACAAGTTTTATAAGTTTTCAAATCCTTTTGCAATATTGGTAGAGAGGCCAAGCAGCGAATGCGTAGGATACTGTGTGGCAGCGTTCTATTACTTATCTGTATACCGTGACTATTTTCTATGGAATCCAAATCCAAGTCGTTTAGTGAAGTTTTCGCGTTCAGTACCTGTTTAGTAAAACTTATACCTGGCAGCTGTATTTACTCTTAATATAATTAAATATTTGGGTCATGCCTTTCCGTCATTAATCTTTTTGATTCATTGTGTCCACAAAGACTAAAATAGCTATCAAAATAAATAGTTAAGCGAAAAAGAGCTTCTTAAGTCTAGCTAAGTTATAGAATTAATTTTTATTTTTTATGTTATTACTATGGTTTGTCAAAAGTCCTAAGCGACCTCTGTAACAATATTTTATGAAAATATTGACAGCCCGGTTCCCGCTTATTTTGACATTGACAGTTCGATGTATCTTTAGTGAAAACGATCTCGTATTGTCAAGTTAAATACCATAACGTATTTTTATTCTTTAATTAGTGCTTTTTTAATGTATCCATTATTTTGCGTACAAATAGTTTGTAATATTAATATAGCTATAAGAAATGTTTCTAATTCCTACATTCCAAAACCAAGTTCGATGTTGATGTATTTTAATATAATCGGAGCAATTATTCGTACTTAGAAATTTGAGGGGTCATTCAATATGTATATATGATCACCACTGAATGTGATTAAAACCACTGCCATGAAAATTTTTAACGTAATACATAGTTATGGTCTTGTATTAAAACTTAAATATAACACAATGGTCCAAATTTAATTTAAATAGTAAATTATTGTTTCGAACTTAACTCTATTTTGACTTTGACAAAGCAAACGACAGCAACAATCACTGGCAAATAGTTGTATGAGAAATTTTAGTACTGCGCGTAGCCGCCAGAGGCGCTGTAAGGTTTTCCATACAAATATTCTTACATATGCGTATTAAGCGTTTAATACTTTCGATATTCACAAAATACCGTTAATGTGTTTACTCTTAATTTCTCAGCAATAGTAACAATATTTTTTAATATGAGACCATGCGGTTAAATTTGTTCTAAGTGACAAATGTACCTAGTGTGTTTGTTTAGGTATAAACGATGTGCATATTGATGTATTATCTGTGGAACATTTATATTAAATAATTGCAGTAATTTGTAAATAATTATTGGTATGCGATCTTGTTTCTGGTTATATGATTTTTTAACTATAATCGACCCGAGTAAACTATACAAGTTCATATAGACATGTTTTGATTCAAGTCCGCGTGAATAAGCAAAGAACAAAATTATAAAGTTATAGCAAACAGCTATAAAAGCATACCTATTAATACAAAATATAAAGGGTAATTCTAAATTCAAACCTGAATTATATCAATTTGTATAGGAGATTAAGCATTTTCTTTACGAAGCATTGTTACATTTCAAAGCTTGCAGAGTCGAATTTGCCAGCATTTGATCCTCATAAATATTCACATTGTACATCTTGCTTTGTATGTTGAAGCTACTGTCGAAAGGTCAAGATGCTACTCGGGTCTTTGAGATTGATATTATAGTGCACAATTACGAATTCAAGTTTATTTTATTCAATAACTTTCATACATTTTATATGATTAAAATTTCGCGTAACGCATTTTATTACACAGAGTATGTCCCGTCGATAAGTTTGTTTTCACACGAAAATCAATATTATTTTCTGTATAAAAGATAATAAAGTACATAGATTATAATTTCAGTAATATACACAATTATTCGTATAATCAGAAACAAAAGATGATGGGTTCGAATGTGTGAAAAAGAATGTAAAAGAAAGTATTTTATGCGTAGGCTAAAACAGAAGAGTCCGACTGAAGATTGTCATATTATATTAATTAGTTAAGGACTTATAATTTTTAAATTGTTTATATAGAAATAAAAATATTCAATTCAGCATTGAAATAAAGTGATGATATTGAGAATTTAGTTTAATATTAACATTCCTATATAATATTAAAATTTTCATTCGCATTGTAAGCTGAACAATGTTCAACAAAATGTGTGGCTAAAATATGAAAATTAACTTCGAATACAAACAAGTTTAGTCCCAAATCGCAGACACAATGCATGGGTAAACCACACAAAATTTCAGTGTACTAAGCTGTTAAAAGCAACGATCCCAAACTTTATTATATTTCGGGCTGCGCTGAAATATTGTCACCTAAAACTAGTTGGGACCCAACAATTTAAGATATTTTATATACGTTTAAAATTATAAATAACTTTTGTCTAAACAGTTTTAACCTTGTTTTTAATTTATTTATTTGATTTTTAAATATTTCATCAATTTATACAAGTGTCGGGTCACGTGACGTGTGTGACGAACATGCACCACAAAGTTTGTAATTGCCTATATCAGCACTAAAGTAATTTAACGCAATCATTTCCATTTCTACTCGGAGCTACTCGCATGAGAATTGCTCAACAAAAACAAAGTCATGGAGCCGCGCACCCCTACAACTTATCCTGTGGTCCCTAAATACGAAATAAAAAAGGTAATTTAGGTTATCCTTAACCCAACGAAGCTTATTGCAACTTTAAACACAAAACTAAGGAAAGTTCCATAAAATATACTGCACATTGTTTACTGTGGTGGGAGTGAGCCGTTCTGTGCAATGATCCGTGAAAACTGGCGTACGCGACTTAGCCAGGGATTTGGTCAAAATTGGCATTGCGCCAGCCTTATTCTATGAAAAATGATTTTTTTGTGATTCACTCGGCAGTGCGGCGTTTGTGAGGTTTTAAAATCCATTAGCTTCCTCGAATTAGGTACCTTCCTCCTTTGATCAAAGGAAATTTTAAATCATTGGCCTGGTATTGGCGTTCTTTTTATGTTTAGATTTATTTTCAAATGCTTAAAAGCATAATACGCTTTTCGGTTTGGAAACCAAAAGCGCCAATTAATCAGTTTTAGCACGCAAATCAAAGTTATTCTAAAAGTACCTTAGTGTTAAGTAGATTAGCATGTGTATTCGGAGATCACAATTTACTCCGGTCAAAATCATAACATTACAATTAAGTTTGATCAACCAGACTAATTTGTGTCCAAAGACAAAATCGTCTGGGATTCTGAAAGCTGATCAGTTTGATTAGTTTCGAATCCTTTTATGTAACTATGAGATTGCTTGTGAGCGAACAG